GACGTGACATCCACACACTGGTCAACCGATCTGACTGACGACTCCTGCACACAAAGATAAGAACGGATATATTAAAAATGTATTTACCGTAAGAATTAAGCAACCTAATCCAAATATCAAAACGTGAAAGTTACTTCTGGATGAAGACATTAGCTGACAAACAATGAATAATTAAAGGATTAATCCCAGAGTAAGTACACATCCATTAATAGCATGTTGCTTCTTGCCACAAAAATGTATTTCAACTCGTCCCTCAATACCAAGCATCTGGGTAACGGTGCTCACTGCTCACTGTGTCGATAGTACAGTTTAATTTAAAGTATCATACATGCATATAATAGAAATACACAGGGTCAGGCAGCAAGTATTAAAATTCACTAAATCAAGCTCCACATTTTGTCTTGTAAACCCTTTTAAATGTATGATTTAATGTAAAAAAAAGTTGCGTATTTTGTTCACGATACTGCCAAAATAAGTCACTATTTAGTATTTACTGCTGTATTTCTTTAATAATAATAGTACATATATATATATATATATATATATATATATATATATATATATTAGGGCAGTGCAAAAATTAATTGCGATTAATCGCATCCAAAATAAATGTCTGTGCTTACATAATATATTTGTGTGTGCTGTATATAACTATTTTTTTATATATAAATACACACACATGCATGTATATATTGAAGAAAATGTGTTATTCATATATAAAATATTTATATAATATATATATATATATATATATATATATACAGAATTTAAGCGCAAATAATTCTTAAATATATACATGCAGGGATACGTATTTATCTACACAAAATAATTATATACAGCACACACAAATATATTATGTAAACACAGACTTTTATTTTGGAATCGCAATTAATTTTTGCACAGTCCTAATATATATTGGAAACCTGCTAGTAACCGCCATTTCTACAATATCTGGCAGGATGATTACATATTTATGTGACTGTAACACCAGTCCAAGTATTCGGTTACTCCACAAGTGTGGCTGTACGTGACGTTCTTGAAAACGGCGCTCTTGAACTGATGAATTAATCTGTCAATGGGAAGAAAAGTCCAAATAAAGTTACATCCTGATTGCGGACGATTAAAGAATCCAGTCACCAATTGGTTTCATTTACCCAAAGCCATAAAACTGACTCCAGAGTGATGAGATGGTGGAAAAGCAGCAATAAGAAATGGAGACGGAGACAGTCTGATCACTGTAAAGCAAGACTGATGCTGAGGGAACACGGGTTTGAAGCCAATGAATCGGTGTCCACTACCTAGACTGCATTTTAAGGCAAATGTGTACAATTGAAAACATTTTTTGTGTGTGCTTTGTATTTTTATTCTTAGAAACATGCTAAAAAACACTGCACAAAAGGAGCAGTGTTGTAATTGTTTCGGCAATTGAAATAAAGCTAAAACAAAACCAATATAGATGAAAAACAAATGGTCTAGGCAACTAACTAAAAAAAAGTTGGTTTATAAATTAGGTTGAAGTACAAACATATCTAAAATAGTTGAAATAAAAATAATTTAAAGCTAAATAAATAAACTTAAAAAATATGAAAACTGATTGAAATATCATTGACAAATAAAGTAACAAATGTTATTGCTTTTGCCACCTTATTAGCTAGAAGGAGAATATTATTGGAGGGGAAATCAACAAACCCACCTAAAGCCTCAATGTGGTTATGTGATCTAGTATCATATTTAAAATGAGAGAAAATTAAATATTTAATGAAAGGATCGGTTGAACATTTTTTATCAGACTTGGCAACCCATGATTACATATTTTGAGAAGATGAGGACTCTCCCACCTATTGATCAATGTTAGATGTGATTGTCAATTGGGGTATTGTTTTGTAGTTATGTACGGACCAAGAACATGTCAGAATTTCATTATTGGCTACGCATGTTTATTTATTTTTATTTACCTATTTATTTATTTTTTTGGGGGGACTATTATTATTATTATTGATATTGTTGTCTTGACTTGTATGTAATATATTGTTATTTATTTTTGCGGAATGGGTTATTGTGGGGGAAAAGCTTTAACTTTGTATCTGCTTTATGTTAATGCTTTCTGTTAATGCTTTGAAAAAGTTGATAAATAAATGTATAAAAAAAAGGAAACGCATAAATAGTGCATAGAAAACATTTCTTGAATAAATCCCTCGATTTGAAAAAAGAAAAAAAAAGAAAACTGAAAATATAAAGAAGCTATTCAAAATATTGAATATACAGTGTATATATATATATATATATATATACACACACACACACACACACACACACACACAGAGTATTACTTACTTCCATTGAGGACTTCCATTGAATATGTTTGGTTTACGGTTAGTTAGTTGCATGTAATTATGCAGTATTTCCTGTTATTACACTACGTAGTCACTGTAAAAATAAAGTGTTCCCTGAAATGACACTTGAATGATATTTTTGTGGCACATGGAGATGTAGTGTTTCAAATCAATCGCTGCTCAGGTTCATTTTCATGTAGTACGTTGCCTTAAAAGGCAGCTACGCATGCATGGAGTAAACTAGAAAAGGCAGCTCATTAAGTTTAGGAACAGAGCTGGAATCAGAGAACGAGTGCGTGTGCCTGTTACTACGAGAAGAGTGCACTCTTCCTCAGTGTCCATTAGCTATTGGATATGATATTTCTCTTTTCATCCCTCCCAACGGCTTCAATCAGACCCACACAAGCACGTCAGCCGTGAGAAACACGCGGGAGGCTCGTCAGGGGAGAGTGTGTGAGGGAATGGATGTAAATGGACCCTTACCTGCACTGCAGAATCAGAGCTGGAGTGAAATATGCTCTCTGTTGTGCTACAAACAGATTTAGGTCACTTGCTTACCTTCTCTTCAAAGGCCCTGGAGAGAGAACATTAGAGCTAATGGCATAACAGCGTGAAAACAAAGGAGTCGGATGCTTTGGGACCTGGAAAAGAAGTCTGAATACAGCCGTACTATAATAAAAACAGCATCTGTGTGTGCGCAATATGATGGAAAAAATTCCAGTAAGCCGCCACAGCCCAAATATAATGTGAACGGTTTGATTTTTAAGCCTTTTGTTCCTTATAATCTTCAGTAAAGCCATGTAGAGTAACTGAAATAAAGCAATATGAATATTGCAAACTGAATTTCCACTGTAACTCAAATTCAAACATGCTAATACTAAATATATTAGAAATGATGTCCGCCTAGAAGCACCTGGAATATTCAAAATCATGCATTGGATTCAGTGTTCGAGTCACCAAGCACAACTTGCCATTAGGAAATATGAGCTTAGACATGCTTTAGTGCAACTAATTCAATTCACGCAATGTTAAAACATCCTGATTCACAGAGTACGGATGAGATATTCAATTTGCATAGAAAACAAAACATGTAAATAAAAGAGTTCCTCATTTTGCAGGGTGAAGAGGAATTTAGTTAGCCATAGAACTCAATTAAAACCAAATCATCTTATCAGGAAAGCCAAAACGTTTGGAAACCACAACACAAGAGCATTTTTACCAAAACAGCAGGTTCCTAATTTAGTTTTGGTAGTCTCCTACAATGTTTAACATGCTTCCAAGGTCAAAAAACACTTTAATTTTCTCATAAATGAAATGATTAAACAATTCAGTCTCTCTAAATCCCGCTTTTCTGAGAGCCTACTCTGCTCTGATTGGTCACATGGCCCAGTCTGTTGTGATGAACACATGGATGTGTCTGAAACGAAACGCCTATTGTTCTGCCCACAGGTACAAGTCATTAAATCATGTTTAATTTGGACTTCTCTGTGCATGCTCTTTGAGGTGAACCGATTGAGGACACCCTTCACCTCCAGTGTATGACTGACAGACAACAACGGTTTGACCAAAAAATGTCAAAACAAAGACACCTACATCTTGGATCCCCTTGAGGTAAGCCGAAACATATCAAAAGTTTATTTCAAAGTGAACTATCCCTTTAAACACAGTGAAACGAACAATAACGATGAATCGGTTTTACCAAATAATTTCCAGTACGAGTCCTTCGGAATATGAAAAATTTACAAAGAGGATTCGCAATGCAGAAAGCAGCATCTTTTCAACATGACATCATGACTTTTGCGTAAACATACACGCCACTTTCGAGTCAAGTGGCGTGTTATCTCTACGCATTTTGAGCTATGCGTGTATGCCTACGCCATTAACGTCCGCGTGTCTGTACACACCGTCAAATGTCCGCGCGAAACGAAACAAAATGTACATCTAAATCTGGGGAACGATCTTTTTTTTCCTAAGGATGGTGGGGGAACAGTCATAAATGCCATTAACCCCAGTGACGGATAGGTTTAGAGACGGGGTTGAGGCAAGTCATATATTTATATAAGAAGAGTTCAGATGCAAAAGCCTCTAAATGCCATTTGAAATTTTCTTCTTTAATGATGATTTTTATCAAACTTGTATATTTAAGTTCAGAAATTACTGATTGGCATTTCAAATGAATAAAATTTCAAATGGCATTTCGAGGCTTTTGCATCTGAACTCTTCATATACAGTAATAACGTTAAGTCAACGGCGTTCATAAACACGCTGAAAAGCAATTATACGTCTTGATAGCACGCCAAAAATGGAAATACGAATTGGCGTGTCATCGACATGTCGACACTCACGTTGCCTTTTAGCTAAAACTAGTGTTTGAGGGTCAAAGTAGATGTTGTTCGATATACAAATTCGTTACAAACCTACAGAAACGAGACTGGAATTACTGACGACTTGAAACAGCGATTCAGAATCTATTCTTTATTTTAGGACAACTTTATTTGCTGTGTACTTTGATCTTTTACATTCACAAACCGCTATATTACACACTGAATGAAAGGAAATATTCTAAAAAAGCATAATAGGGGCACTTTAAAAAAAATTGTAAACCATTTTAAAACATCTGTTAAATAATAAAAGTGTTCTGCAAGATAAGATGGCCAACACACCCGATTAATTTTTGCAATTTGTAATTTATTTTAGAGAAAATGTAAATATACTTTTTTAGTTATTCACCTTTATTCTGGTGTCGGTTTAGCCCATTTCGGCCAGGTGTATTTTCAGTAGTTTCTCCAAAAAATAAATAAAACAAACCAGTCATGTGCAGCTCTGATTATATAGTTTCTTTAGGACAAACAGTCCCATTGTACGCGGACCGACAGACTGCAGCTGTTGTGTATTACTCGCAATTAAGATGCGCTTGTTACTCAGTGGTACCTTAGACTATAAAAACTCATTTGGAAAGTCAAACACAGACCCAAACACAATGCGAACATTGCCTACAACTACACTTGTCACATCAACACCAAAAAAATGCAGCATGTCTCTATTGCGTTAGACACAGAACACCCTTATAATAGAATTAGAACATATGCAAACTCGACACTAAACGAAGACGAGACGGAAAACCCATTTTATATAAACTCAAAAGCAGACGGTCAGGTGTCCAGCAGGCATGTGTGCACGTCTGACGCTGAGCTAAAGGTCCTGGCAGACGGCCTACGCGTCAACGCTTGCAAATCTGCCCCAATAAAACGACTCCCAGATGCCCCTGGCCTCCTCACTGCTCATAAACAACAGTCCTGTGTGAGAAACACGAGGTTTATATGGGCTGGAACCAGCGTTAGCTGCAAACAAACAAACAAAAAACTGCATTTATTTTTTTTTTGGAATTTTCAGCTTTACTAAAAAAGACAAGAGTTATGATCTCTAAGTACGGGGAACAGGGGATTATTACATAATCTAAGAAGCACCATCATTATTGATCCTATAGTTCTCCTATGTGCATTAGCCTAAACGCTAGTGTTAGCTTTAGCACCATTACATTGAGAGGTCTATACACTCCTTGGCTTGAGCAAATGCACAAACGGCGCACACGGAAGGACGAGAACATCCCATCATCCTCATCATCATCAGTAGGTGGAGCAGCAGTTAAAAGAGTCTGTGCACGTGTTCGGGAAAGAAAAAGAAAAATCACTCGATTGATTCTCATACTAGCAAAAAATGGGAAGTCTATGGAAGCATTCACATGATCCAAAACTATTTAGCTATCACATTCTGTACAGTTATGTTTTCTCTTAGCCCGTGGCTTGTTGTTACGTCTATCTACAGTACAGTAAAATTTCCCAAGTACAAAAATATATTACAAATCTCCTGGAATATTTACATGGGCACTTTCTTGACAAAAAGGAAAAATAGTTGTAAGAGCTCGTCAGCAGATTTGAGGATTTGTAGGGAAGGAAAATGAAAACTTCAACCGTGGAACACAAGCCATCCTCCCAGATAGTTAAAAGTCCAGCATCGACAGAGTTCACAATTTCGTGCCTTTTTTTTCCCTCTTCAAGGGATAAAAACACACATTAAAAATTCACTGCATGCTTTGGCAGACTCTGAGCATTAAAAAGAAAAGAAAAAAGTGGGGGGAGCAAAGGGAAAAGAAGTCCCGTCTCAAAAGATCTGCGCGTCCACTTCGGTTTGGGCACGTCAGCAGGCACTGACAGAAGCCGCCCTCCCCACCCAGTCTTCTAGAAAAACATCCTGAAAACAAGCAGAACCCACTTTAGTACGACGCACACACACACACGCATATAAACGCACAACGACTCCAGAAAACACGTCATTTCCAATTGAATTTCTGTACCACGGACAGCATAACGATGCATAAAGCTGCTCTTCAGAGCACACTAGACCCCTGAAGATGACGGGCATCTGTCCGTGCTCCTGTCATTCACCGTGGCACACCGTAGGCTGTGTGGGGAACTGAAGACATTAACACGCATGAATACATTCGCTTCTGCCCACAAAGCGTTCGCCTTGACCACGTGCTCAGAATGCATCACATTCCACGGCAATGCAAGAGTCTGGGTAAACAAACTCCTACTAGAGTCTAATAAACATAGAAATGATGTATTACGCTCGATTAATAGTGGCTCTAACAATCCTGGAATCATGGTTTACATCTGTGGGAGAAGGTCAGAGGTCAGTTTAGAGTGTCGGTGACCCAGGCGGATAGTATCGCCAGCTTTGATTAATTAACATCTTCTCTTGGATCGAAGGTTATTTATTGATCTCCCACCCACATCCCCCTTGAGATCTCGAAGCCGGCGTGTTGCATGTTTAGCTTTGGAAAGCACATTTCTCGTTGCAGTGACACCGGCGCCATCTACTGGAGAAATTCATGCCAACTTTTCAGCAGGAAAGCTGTCGCTCCCGTCTAGAACTTCAAAACACGTGGCCCACGGCGAGCTCGAACGAGGAAGAAGTCGACGGCTCCTTTGCTCTTAGCGTAACCGGTAAAGTTTAAGTGAGCTAACGTCACCTGTACACGTTGGGGTCCAACAGTACCGATGTGTCCTGAGGAAGCTGGGAGAGGTGGACCACTTTGGTCTTCAGCTGGGGACGGTCACTCTCGCTGACCCAAGCGTCTGGAAGTCTGTGCACATTAGAAAGAGAGAAATATGGGTCACTTCTTCAGAATAGCACACTACAAACTACTTTTAAAGAAAGCAGAATGCATTTGTGATGAGCACATTGCATAGTGGGACATATTCTACAAAATCAGAGCATACTGCATAGCATACTATAACCTATAGTTTAATGCAATGCACTCAACATAGTATAGATGTCAAAATATACAAAATATATAGTGTGCTGAACTAATTGCATTGTGGGATGTAGTATTCTACAAAAACAGAAAATGCTGCATAGAAGGGCTGGGTTATAAATATCGATTTCTCAATATTAATCGATTCTCATTTTTAGACTCAAGAATCGATTAGTCATCCTGTTTCATTTGAATGAATGGGACATTGTATCGTCGCTGCGCGCACCCAAAAAAAAGAAATAAATAAATAAATAAATAAATAAATCGCAATAATCTTTGTCCTTTGTTACTATTGATATGAAACCAAGTCTCAATTTTCAAATTACGTCCATTTTCTTTAGAAATTCAAAAACATAAATAGCGTTTTGGCGCTGATCTCTCTTCTGGGTTAACAATACCAGTCACAGACCAAAATAAACATGAATGAGCATCTGAAAGTGTGTTAAAGATAGAGTACAACTTATCGAAATCCATATCATGTCACATTGATTCACTCAATCAGCGTTTCAACCGTGGAAAGACGTCAGTTAAACAGCTTGCAATCAATGTCATCGTCATATTTACCTCAGAAAACCCACATAAACTCGTTAGTCAGCTAGAAAAATTAACTCCAGAGAATATTTAGTTCTTCAATATTTAATGCATATTTGAATAAATCTGGCAAGTTTTTATGACAGCCACCATTTAAATGTTTATATTTCATATAATCTTCTTATTATAAAAATAAATAAAAGTGTAATTTAAGTGATTCATTCATTATTACCTTCATATTAGGCTAATGAAGCCTATAGGCTACAACTAGTCTCCCATAGTTTACCGCATTAGTTAAGAGATTTTATTCCCTTGAGAAAAATTGCCATTTATTGTAACTGATATACAAAATAATCGATATTGAATCGAATCGTAATCGAATTGCAAGCTTGTGAATCGAAATCGAATCGAATTGTGAAATTTGTCTCAATACCCATCCCTACTGGATAGGACGATAGCGTAATGCAACACAATCAGCATACTACATGTCAAAAATGTGCAGTATACAAAATACAATGTGCCATGTTTTGTAGTGTGCACAGCCAGAGCTTACAGTGATGTGCAATAGCTTCACATAACATGAACAGTATGCAGTAAAGGGTTCAGTCAGGGACACTGGGTCACTTTTTGATTGGTTACAGCCATTGCAAAAAAGGACACCAAGTATGCATACATGTAAATGTAAGCAGTATGCTAGTTTTGAACCCAAACATAGCTTCCATATAAATATTAGCATTTGCCAGGTAACACACAGCCCTTCATTCCTCCAAAACACATTCCACAATGAGATTATTAAAAACGCTTCCCTTTTTTCCCGTTATTTCACGGAGGAGCCTTGTTTGGCTCCGGATTGTTGTGGTGACCCAGAAATCCACTTTAAACATCTCTCGAGACAGCATCTTCTTCTGTATTATCGCTGAGCTGACAAACATTCCTCCAGCTCAGATTGATGTCTCGAAATAGCAGCGTGCACACGCACACAGTCCCGTGAGGAGGTTTGCATAAGTGGAAAGGTATGCGAGTATACCAATTATCACAACACGGACCATTTTAGCTGGCTGGCCGTAACACTTAAGTACAAACGTGCAAATCGGCAAAAAGGTTCATTTACCATAGAAGTCACTTTTGGTCATTTACACTAAAATTACAGTGGGAATGTGAGACCGGTAACAGGTAACGTTCAAAGGCTAAGCCATGGAAATTGTCTAAGCCATGGAAATGTTGAGAGCAAGAGGATACCCTTTAAAAGTATTTGGGTTGGAGAGACTTCAAAAGACAGTTTGTTTCCAGGTGGGTGGCGATTCACTCAGGCCAGCACTCTTCAATCCATTAGACTTGACATTAATGTGGACATTTACCATATTAATCTGAATGCATTGCTGAATATGAGGACACAAGAAACTGGGAGTAAAGTGAAATAAACAACAGATGAGGAAGAAAATGGATTTAGTGAGAAGTAAAGAGTGTAATAATACGAGAATGGAGGAGAGACGGGGAGTGATGGCATGTTCGCTACTATTTTTTAGATAAAGAAGATTACGTAAGCATAAAATTCCCCAATGATCAACACTTGGCTTGCCAAAATAAATGTCTCACATAAAGAGCACATTGGGTCAGATACCGTATACAACAACGTTCTAAAATTGATCCTCTATTTTTAGTCTGATACGTGCATTGGAAGCGGCATCAACTTCCTTTGTGGCCCATTATTTGATCAGAAAAACAAAGTTTTTATACAAAACTTTATAATGCATAACAATGATCTGTTAATAATGGGATGAGAACTGGAAATTTCAATTGTCAAATGTAGCATACTAAATATGCATACTTCAACTATATAGACCTTATGCACCAGAGAAACGTGGGCGCCGTCATCTTTAGAATATTGTCTCTGAACTCTGTATATTTCTATGGCATCGCTGTCGAGGAGTAATTAGCTGGTGAAGTGGATTTACTTATTGTAGAGTTAAGAAAAAATTATCATGAGCATTGTAATGTTTATCAGGATCATTGTAAAGTAGATGTCTTAACAAATGTCGACCGGGAAATGTTTTACGAGCAGTTCATTCATACCTATGCAAGATCACTGTGGAGATACAGACAGGAAGTCAAAAGACAACGAGCGCAACGCTGAAAACGGGCTGCATATACAGTATGTGAAAAAGTATGTGTGAATTCATTGCGTTCATAAAAAAAAGCAGACAAAAAGTACCAGGATGACCAACTATTTCCAGCGAGCTATAGTACTATCCCATGAGACCATGACAGAGGATTTGTGAATAGCAGTGAAGCGACGCAACTGACGCTGGAAGGTCATATTACAATAACAACATGATGGATGTAGTATGTCCATATTACACTCATACTACATAGAAAATGCTTTATTTAACATGAATTAAAGTACTTAAAAGACGTACAAAAGCCATCGCGTTGTATGCTGTTTCACAATTATAAACAATTATTTAAAAAAATAATAGTAGGCAATTAGCATAGACTGTGTGATATGTAGTCGTTGTGTTCGTCTGTATCTCTGCACAGCAGGAGACACACATGCTGGAGGGAGGAATGCTAAACTTCTCCTTTGGGACTCATAACATCTATACAGTCAGCTGTAGATCAGTCTGTGTGTTTTTAATGTGACTTAAGGAGCCTCAGAACCGTCGTTCTGTGACGTATATGGGGTCGTACATGTGTGTGTTTTGAAGCATCAGTGCATAAGGCCACCCTCAGGTGGCTCCTGACTCATATAAACGGCTGACATTTAGTGCAGAGCCCTGAGGTGAGTGGTGCGCTTTCATATACTCACATGTCCTCCGGCATCCAATGAAGCAGCACCTTCACCTTCCCAGAATCCTCCTTTCGCCTGGCAATCACCTGCTCAATTGTACACAATGAAAAGGTGTATGAGAACTCCTTTACGGGTTTGTAAAAGAAACTGATGCATGCTGGTTAAATGGGACAGTTTTCATGGGGTTTTGGGAGCAGCAGGCGAGGCTGTGAAGAGGAGGGCCTGTGCAGCTCATTAACAGTTTAATCAAAGACACAGGGGAGCAGCGCAAACAGACGCTACTGGACCGTGAGAGCCAAGCAAGTCCCGACCGAGTTTGATGGCTATGGAAAGCAGTCATGCTAATGACTAGTACATACATAGGAAAAAACGCTTTCTCATGATTCAGCAATTTCTCTAAAAACAAATATATTTTCTATACTAAAGACATGGGCTGCATTTGAAATGTAACACTAGTGCAGAATACAAAGTTGTTTGGTTGTATTTAAATGTATTGCCATGCCACATCAGCTTTTCAGGATATTAAATTGTATACAGATTAAATGAACAATATAATAAATACAAACATTTAATAAAATTCAACTTTCAAAATGTAAAAGAGAATAAGACTATTGTAATATTATTTTACAGGTCCTTTAAAGTTTTCCCAGATAAAACTCATCACTGCAGTGCTTAAAAATAGCATGTGAAGCAATATGCAATAGAGCTCACTGTTTAATGTACAATGTGTACAGCAGAAATAGTATGCTAGTGATCCACTTTATAGCCCTTAATCCTGTAATTGTGGACAAATGTGGGCACAGAGGACTCAGGTGTGATCATAATTTTTATTTATTATAAATGTTATATCACTGTCTTCGATAAAGTTTTGTATATCCATTTATGGTGTTTTTTATTTATTTTGGGGGTATTTTTGAATTTATTTACTTCAAAAAGTACCATATTTTCTATGTAAGTTATGCTTATTTTTATGTTTTTTTTATTTTTATTTTTTAACTACATTAAAATATCATTCCAATAAGTTCTTAGAGCTAAAACCTAAAGATGAAGTAACTTTGCTGTCACCTGGTGTCTTATTTTGACTTATTTTAGGATGCTCTAAATTACAGTTTTTCCCATTCATTTCTATGGGTGCCCATTTTTGACCCAAATACAAGATTAAGGAGGTTTTTTTCACCCACTTAACATTGTAGAATTGAGTCAAAACAAAAATTGTGTGTGTTCAGGAGGCAAACTTAGGAAAAGTAGCCAAGTCTTGTACCGCTCAGATCAAGGGAAGTATTTATTAAAAATAAATCAAAACTATTTTGCCCACATTTGTCCAGAATACGGTTTTAGGGTTAAGGATGTGAAGTGTGGGTACCCACCGTACTGTGAAACACGACGCTGTGGCCCTTGCCCTGGCTCTCAATATGGGTCGCCAGATTGAGGCAAATGGCACGATGACGGATTGCATCCATGGTCTGAGCGTCAAAAAAGTCGTGAGGTCGCGCTGATGGGAGGAAAAAGACTGGGGTTAAAGAGAAGGAGTTCTGAAACCAGAGCTGAAAACGGATTAAAGATCAAAGATACACTGACACTTACGCAACGACCGTCGCCGTTTGTACTTGAGTTTCCTCCGTTTGTTGATGCCCGCTTTGGAAGGCGACTCTTCCTTCACCTTGGTTTGGCTTGAGAGTTTGGAGGAATTCTGGGAGCTGAAGTGGGTTGGCACGTGGCGCGCTAGCCCCCCCTGGGAGGCAAAAGTGGCATTGCAACCGCCCACCACACACTTCACAGAGAGAGAGAGAACGGTCAGAGTAATTATAGTCAATGAAAAACTAGTATAGGGATATAATTACAGGATGAGAACTGTGGACAGCATTTTTATTGCAAAGCCAAACAAAAATATAGCAGTATGCAAAACGTTATACTAGTATTACAGTATGTACATGTAGGGTGCATGTTGCAAAAGGATTTCACCAATTATTTTTCTTAAATTATATTTAAAAAAAAGAATTCTACACAGTAGTCAACATTTGAAGTGGATCACATGAATTTTGAACAATGGTAGGACAACGATTAATCGCATCCAAAATAAAAGTTTGTGTTTACATGATATATGCGTGTGTGGTGTGTATAATTATTTTGTATATATAAATACTAACACATGCATGTATATATTTAAGAAATATGTGTTCTTAATACATCAAATATTTATATTTATACATAATATTAATTTTGTATAAATATATATAAAGTATATACATGCAAATATTTCTTAAATATATACAAGCATGTGTGTGTATTTATATATAGAAAATAATAATTAATCGTTGCCCATCCCTAAGGACAACTTTAACTTTTTTGATCCAATGTTGTTGACTGCTGTATTACAAACGAAATGTGCATGTGTGCAAAGAAGAGGCTGACCTTGAAAGGTTTGTCTCCGCTGTGTGACAGCATGTGTCTCTGGAGCCAGCTTTGACTGGTGGATGGTGTGTTATACACCTTACAGCCTTTCCAAAGACACACGAAAACCTGCGGGGAACAGGTGTGCAAACAACAATGTAAGAATTTCACTCAGTACATCAAACGCCTTAAAGTAAACCTGAGAAAATATCATGCACACACACTAACCCCGCCGCGCTGTCCGTCCACGTGCACTCCACGGATGTGTTCGGCCAGGTCCGGGCTGGTGTTGAACAGCATGTGGCACTGATCCCAGCAGCAGGGGTAAGATGAGCCCTTCGTGGAGGAGGAAGAAGCCCCACCGTGACCGTTCATCATAGCTGGAGTGGAACGACCACTGGATGCGATGCTCTCCATGTCCATGAGAGTACTGCTGATACTGAAACACACATTTTAATAATATACATATATATAGGAAAGGTGCAACAACATCTGATATGACAGTAAACATGGACTTTATACAATTATTGGTGCATCAAAAGCATATCAATGCCCTTTTTATAATGTTTTCTGGAATAAATCTCATTGTAGTGTTGATTATTCGCTAAAATTATCATTTTTAGCTCATCTGTATGCACAAAAAAAAACACACACACACACACACACACACACACACACACACACAATGAACTAGAGCCAGACCGATATATCGGCCGGCCGATATTAGGCATTTTCCAAAATATCGGCATCGGCAGTCATAATGGCCGATAAATGAATATTTAAAAAATAAAATAAAAACGGACGAAACACGCTTTAATCATCTCTCCTTGGCCTGTTATATCGAAAATGTTTTACAATTTGCAGTATGATGTTATCTATTGCTAAAGTATGGCTCATCATAGACTAGCTAACCACAAAGCTAGCTAATGCCACTATCATCAGTGGAAGACCGCTAACGTTAACATTAATGAGCTTGGAAACCACAATTAACTTTTTCTGCCTAAATAAAGTAATGATTACTGTATTTATAACTAGCATATCTCTAGTTACAGTCCCTGCATTGTAAAATGTAAGTTATACTTGCGAGGAGTGAACATTTAGACATAGAGAAAAAGTATCAAACGTATCTTGTGCAGAAAAGTTAGCTTTTCTTTTACACGTGTGTGAAATCCAACAATATTTAATTAAAAAAAAAATATCGGCCGATATATCGGATTTTAAAACCCAAAAATGTTTGTATCGTATCGGCCTTCAAAATCCTTTATCGGTCGGGCTCTACAATGAACAGAGATTAAAAGTGACGAGTTGTGGCATCGATAAGGAGTAACACAAAATCTAAATGGGGAAAGTTTAATTGAACAGCACGACTAATTTAGAAACTATCTCAATTTTTGATGCTAAATCAATCCAGAACCCACGTTATGAACCACGAGTCTTTGTGAAGGGTAAATGAGGTCATTGCCGTGGGGCGAGCACCTAACCGTGACACACAACCGCTGTAACAGTAAGCTTTTGAGCGAGGGGTGTGCAGCTGTGCAGTGTGGGAGAGGACAGCGGTAAACTACCACAGTAAAGCCCCATGAACTCCAGTGATTGTGACTGAATGACTCCTGAGGGGAGAGGAGGGGCTCACACACACACACACACACACACACACACTTCCATCTGTTGGTTCCTTTCAGACTTCACTGCCCACAACTGACGCAAAATCCCAGGATGTGCCAGAGAACAGGATTCTGGGTAATCAGAGACAAACTCCAAATGCCAGTCTGACTACCGGACCGATGAAGTGATAAAGTGCAATGACTTTTTGCTGAAAATGGATTTTTAAATTTTCTGAAGAATGCACATAAATAAAATTGTATTATTATCCCCACAATTATAATCGCATGCCTAACTTCATTTTAGAATTAAATGGATTAATATGAGACAACTTAAATGCATAAACTGGGTTACTAAACACAAACAGTTTGAATGTGGATTTTGAGTGACAGCAGCAAACCAGGTCTGGCATATGAAAGACATTAGCATCGTTTTTTTTTTCTTCTGGAAGCTGTCTCGCTCATGTGACACACTACAAAGGGTGTTAAAACCTCTCACACACACACACACACACACACACAGATCGCTCGGTCCAGCTGGCTGATCAACGTACACTGAGAATCTAATTCAGAAAACTGTGCCAAAACCTGCTTAAGTGGACAAGCAAACAATAAAACACCTGCTTTTACTCAAATGTCCCATCCAGTGGAGTTCCCCTCTTAAAACTCATTTGCTCTTTCACATAATCTGGTCTGGTGTTTGGCATCACTGACATTAAACCTTGATGATTTGATTTCTAGAGGATAACCACACAAATGTTGGTGTCCTAATAAGACTTAGGAATCATAGGAATATTTTTACCCAGTCCACAAATTCACCAGACAGCATCTCTTTAACAGTATGAAAATGGCACTTTTATGCAAAACTATTGATACAACTTTACAATAAGGTCCCATTACATATTATCTAAAGCGACTTACATTGGATTTCAAGGTTCACAGATTTACATTCTTATCAACTTAATGCATTAACTAACATTAAGGAGTAGTTCACTTTAAAATCTTGGATGACATGGCAGTAAATTAACAGCAAAAAATTTTTTTTTTAACAGTGAACTACTCATTTAACAATGAGCAATATGTTTGTTACAGTATTTATTAATGTTAGTTATTAATAATCATTGTTGGGTAAGTTACTCTAAAAAAGTAATTAATTACTAGTTACTAATTACCTCTTCAACAATGTAATTTGATTACTGTACTAATTACTCTATCTAAAAAGTATTTAATTACTAATTACTTTCAAAATCCCATATCAATCTCAACCAGCTGAATAATACAAGAATAGACATGAATCTGTTTTTAATTTTTTCAAATAAATACTATAAAATTGCATGAATTATCCTTAAACAGACCAGGTTACATTATAAAAACATACTTTTTAACATCAGACAATACATTTTGATGTTAAACCCACTATTGTTTCATGTCTGATCTCATGACATTTCACACTTTTTTCATACATATTTTACAATAATTCATACGAATGCGGTAGTACAATTTAGACACCTCATAAAATGCATACAAATCGCTGTGAGATCGGATTAATCTATACACAGTATTTACCTCAATTACATTAGAAGTAACTGTAATTAAATTACAGATAAATGAAGAGTAATCCCTTACTTTACATTTTCAAGGGAAAAGTAATTAAACTACAGTAACTAATTACTTAGTAATTAATTAGTTACACCCAACACTGTTAATAATACAACTATTCATTATTAGTGCAGGTCAACTTTTGATTCATAGTATATTAGTAAATAATGAAATAGATTTTAGTAGTATTTCTAAAGAAAGTATTACTAAATTATCAGCTAAATGACGAAACAATTTATTATCAATATGACTTGTTTTGATGAATAACCTGGGCTACTTGTGGATCTCAAGACAATGAACGAACATTTCCAAAAGCAACACTATAAAGGCATGACTTTAGTCTTATCTTTCAGTTGTCGTGTGGTCTGGGTCATACTCTCCCAGATGTCCCGCACAAAAGTTACATTCAACCCCTCCAGCTGGCCGAACAGCAGGGCTCAGGGCCTCCACTCGGATTTAAGAGCTTTATTCCCACCAAAAGCTCAACAAAAACAGCACGTCTGGCACAGAGCAGGGATTCCCATCCACACACACATTCCCTCTTTCTCCAGCCTCCACCGCTGGGCTGACCTGATACATTGTGCTCACTGTGATTCGTTCCACCGTGCCTGCGGATCCTCTATGGAGATTTCCCATGTGCTGTGTGTGTGTGTGTGTGAGTGAGCCAGGCCGTCTACAGCACACTCGTAACCACATGGAGGATGAGGAATACATATCCTCCTGCCTTTAGAGTAATACAAATAATAAAAGAGCCACCCTAATATGATGAGTAGGGCTGGGTAATAAATATCGATTTCTCGATATTAATCGATTATCATTTTTACGAACCGATATCGATTCTTAAGTCTCAAGAATCGATTAGTCATCCTGTTTCATTTGAATGAATGGGACATTGTATCGCGGCTGCGCGCATCCAAAAAATCGCAATAATCTTTGTCCTTTGTTACTATTGATATGAAACAAAAGTCTCAATTTTCAAATTACATCCATTTTCTTTAGAAATTCAAAAACATAAATAGCGTTTTGGCGCTGTGGCGTGAGATCGCTCTGGTGCAGCTCAAGAGAAGCAGCAGCGCTGATCTCTCTTCCGGCTTAATAATACCAGTTACAAGGTGAAATAAACATGAATGAGCATCTGAAAGTGTGTTAAAGATAGAGTACAACTTATCGAAATCCGTATCATGTCACATTGATTCACTCAATCAGCGTTTCAACCGTGGAAAGACGTCAGTTAAACAGCTTGCAATCAATGTCATCGTCATATTTACCTCAGAAAACCCACATAAACTCGTTAGTCAGCTAGAAAAAAATAACTCCAGAGAGGAGCATTTTACTAAATATATACAGTATTACATATGCATTATAATCTTAATGTTCTTCAATATTGAATGCATATTTGAATAAATCTGGCAAGTTTTTAATGACAGCCACCATTTAAATGTTTATATTTCATATAATCTTCTTATTATAAAAATAAATAAAAGTGTAATTTAAGTGTTTGTATAGCTACAAAACAGTTAATTATTGCCTCCATATTAGGCTAATGAAGCCTATAGGCTACAACTAGACTCCCATAGTTTACAGCATTAGTTAAGAGATTTGATTTCCTTGAGAAAATTTGCCATTTATTGTAACTGATATACAAAATAATCAATATTGAATCAAATCGTAATCGAATCGAATTGCAAACTTGTGAATCGAAATCGAATCGAATTGTGAAATTTGTCTCAACACCCAGCCCTAATGATGAGCGCCATTAAACACTGGCACAAACACACCCTGGGGATGTGGAAAGATGGCGAAAGGTCTCATAGTTCGGAGCGTAAAACCAGTTCAAAGCAATGCATTCAGTTTGATAAGGAAGGCAGTCACGAAACCAGGCCGACGTCAACTTCCAGAGAAACCAAGCCGGCCCGATGCGGTGACTGATTTAAACTGATGGATATTATCCAAAAATACTGATTTAACTGCACTGACTATCACATGAGAACAAAACTGGAACCGAATAATCACACTATTGTCTTCTGCTTTATAAATGAAGCAACATCCACACGTTATTAAACCGAATTGAATTGTCTGAATCAAACTTGTTTCACAATTGATGAACTTTACAGTTATTGAACTGAATAATGACATTAAAGATGATTTAGAAGTTTGCATTATTAATTCTGTTACTTTCCTGTTTATTACTGGGACGCTGCTTTGAAATCCTTTCTATTGTACAAAGTGCTATTAAAAAATAAAGGTAAGATCAGATGACTTGACAAATAACTGATTGTGATACGCTTTAATCGTTCTGAAATGGCTGAGGCTAAACATTTCACTTTCATTGGACCTTTCTTCTATACACTGAAGGTGAACATTCACCCAACATCGCCTTTTGTGTTTCTATGAAGGATTACTGCTGTGTGTGAACAAATAAACTCTGGGATAATGAGTTACTGCGGTGCCAAGAGACTCAGAAATATGGTTCATATACACCTGGGATTATTGACAGATTGATGTTCTCCATGGTCGACGCAAACACAGAGATAAAACCTGTGCACATCACAAATAATTAACATATCGCTCTGTAAAGTGCACACTTTTATTGTTTGCTGCTTTCTGAATTCTGATTGGCTGTCAATGTTTTTATCGTCCATCAGCTGGAAAAAAAATCGCTCTGAAAGTGATGCGAAATCGTTTCTCTGTGCCATTATTGTTATATTTTTGGTGAACTCTGCTATTCTTTTACATTACAATGATTTTCAGAACGATATCTTTATTTCATCCTAGTTGTGTAAGGGCCTTTTTACACCAATTTTGATAACTTATGAAATGAGTGTTGTTTCAATAATTACTCGACTTCTTTGCCATTTTCATTAAGATAAATGACATACACAAGCAACCATTTACATTACAAAACAACTCTGCATGAATAAAACTAATAATAGCAATGAGAAGAGATTGAAATATTGATAGTTATATGCTCACTACTTTAAGCATTTATTAACTGATATACAGAACTCATTTTAATGGTTTCATTTCTGCTTTTTGACATTAGACATAAACCCCAATGTACGTCTGATAAATATAGCTTTATGATATAGTAGTATGACAACTGATTTGCAGAATATATATTATTTGTTGCATTTCTGCTTTTATAACATAGTAATAAACGTCCATTAGACTGCACTTTACTCCTTAATAATAATAATTATTCATAATTGTGTTATTTATGTGTTTGTGTTTTTGTTTTGTGATCCTCTCTAATTGTTCAGCTACACGTTTCTCGCTTGAGAGAGTGGAGTATTGATCTAAACAGCGCGCGAAAGGCGTGATTTATCACCAGAACTAATATTAAACGACAAATTATTCGGGTGATGGGTTTATACACACACACACACACCTGTCCTCCGAGTCCATGCGGCTGAGCGGTTCTCCGTCCGACGACGAGCTCATCATCTCCAGGCTCGCGCGCCTCTTCAATCCTCCGCCGGCGCCGCCGCTGTTTTTCTCCGCCGGTGAAGACGCATTTTCATCCCCTCTTTGTTCTCCTTTTATCTGCTCCACCGTCCCGTCTGCGCTACCGGGGCTCTTCTGTGGCTCTTTCTCCGGCTCCGCTTCCGTCTCGACATCCTCGTCGTTACCGCCGTCTCCCCGCGTGGCTTCCACCGGGCTTTGTTCGGTAGACTGGTGTCCGTTGAGCTTCTCGTCAGTCTGCACTCCGTCCATCTTAACGGCCGGTTCCGGATCGGCGGCGCGCAGGCCCGACTCGCTCCCATCGCCGTTTTGTTCGCTCTGGTTCGCCGACTCTTGCTCGGAACCGTCAGAAGTCGTCGAAGCCATCGGGTTCCGCTCGTGTGCTTGCGGTCTGGCCGGGTTTAAGCGACGGGAAACGGGTGAAACGCGAAGACTTTCGGCAACCGGACGGATCGTGGAACTGGAGGTTGATCGGGGACGCGCGGGGAGGAGCGAGCGTGACGTCAGCGCTTATTATGAGTGCCTCCACGTGCTCGCAACACCAAATATCCAAAATGAAGTTGAAAAGTTTTAATTATTTAATGTCTGACTGACCTTGTAATATTGCTCATTTTAATGCAAATCTCAAAATCATTTTATATTTCTTTACCCTCATTTCTTTATGGCAACATTGATGCTATAAAACACAATAAAGATACTTATAATATGCAAATCTAAATTATTTGAACGTTTCCTCGAATATGGTTGAATAATAAAATAAAACAAGAATTTGAAATTAGTCTAGATGCATTCATTTATAGTCGTATTTTTTTCTGAAACGGATATATAATAATCGAATTAAAAGGCTGAGAATATATTTGTAAACATATATTTTCCTTGAGTACCTTTGGAAATAAAATAAAAATAATCCGCTGTACATTCACAACGTATTCACAATTTTTGTACTCGATGGTTACACCACGTGACGTCACATGTAATTAAAATGTTTGTAGAAATATTTGACTATAAAATATATGAGGAGTGTATGTTAGTAAATAAATAGATGAATAAACTCGTGTGATAAGATAAAACTCCATAAAACTTTTTTTAAACTGGAAAATATCACGAGTCATTTAGACCTTTAAAACGTCCCTTCCTGGAAACTAACACTAGATGGCGTCAGTTTCCTGTTGATAGGATTTTACACAATCCGGATTCTCAGTGTTTCATGCAAATCATGCATTGTGATTCGAGGCCCAAATTAAATATCTTCACAACAATGAAGATCATTATTACAGAACATTACTGCACATTATGAAACACTCGTCATCATTAGAAAGCATTTTACACATCATGACCAGCAGATGGCGCCATTAGTCGTGTTGCAATACGGCGTCCAACCACAAGATGGTGCCAAAATACCGAGTTTTTTAGGTGTTTTATTAACAGTGGTGATTTCACACTTCATCATTATTCGTGGAATTATTCCATTATTCTTGCTTCGGATAAGATGAATACATCAATAAATGTAATGGGTCACACTTGATTAATTAACACACATAACAGTGCTCGTCAATTTCATAATGACCGAGATGGCCAATCAAATTAAATCACGCGGGCAGAAGCGAATTTCGAATATTGATCAGCACAACCGTTCCAAAATCGATAATAAATCATCATTAGAGCGATTTCTCAAGGATCACGTGACACTGAAGACTGGAGTAATATATTACTAAATATTCACACAGAAAACAGTTCTTTTAGATTGTAATAATATTTCACAAAACAGTTTTTTTCGGCATCAAATAAATGCAGGCTTGACGGTGGTAGTGCATGAAAAACCCAATAATGTTATTGGGAAAAAGGCAGTCAAAAGCTCTTCGCATATATAAGAACATCAACATTTATTTCACATGATATAAAACAGATGAAATATGAACATTTGCATATTGACTCTGATACATAACCTCTTCTGCATCTCCGCTCTGCACATTGTATGGTGTACAGTATATACATCATGAACTTTACAGTTTATACATTAAAGTGAAACACCAAACCCTGCTTATTGCTTTTTCCAACGGATTTAAAACGGCCAAACTCTGTAATACTCTTCTTTAAACTGTAATACTCTGTACTCTTCTCTCTATTTAAATATATCTCAGCCATAGAAAAATAAAACGTAAGCTGGAACATTCATGAGTGTGTCGGGGAAACAGTGTGGTGGCTATTGCGAACTAACATACAGATCATTTACAAATCCTGTCCATCGGCACCTTTTACATCGTTTATACACGAGTCGTTTGATATCAAAAAAGAAACGATGGGTGTCGTACAGTGCAAAAGATATGAGTACTAAAAACACTAGGTAAAACCGATTAAAATCCATATAAAACAAGCGAACGATGAACGCAACCCTCGGCAGCTTGAGGAAGTGAGCGTGTGTTTATGGGTCTGGGTGCTGTGATACATCAAAATAGCACCTGCTCACACGTTACACTCATCTAACAGAAGAAACTCAACAGTAGCAGTAGAAATAATCATCACTAGAGGTCAATCCTTTCCCATGGGTTGAACTAAGGCCTGGACGTCGCTGTGTTCCTGTGGGTCAGCTGATGATGATGATGATGATGTGGGACGTCCCCTCACATGCTGCGGTTCACTGGTGACGGTGGAGGGGCTCCTGGACACACAAAATCACAGTTTAATATTTTTATTATTTATTTAATTCCCTCATTTTACAAAATCTTGTGCAGGATATAATAATTTGTTCCCTGGTTTACTAAATGGCGCACATGATATATATATATGTGTGTGTGTGTGTGTGTGTGTGTGTGTGTGTGTGTGTGCGTGATCATGTGCGGCGGCGTCTGAATGACTCTTAATTGCAGTGTTCATTAGTGAAGCTTTATGATCACTGAGACTCACTGAAGCTAATGAACTCTAGTTGGGAGGCTAATTACTGCTTCATTTGAGAGGATCCTTCATTTTCCTCGGAGAACAGACAGATTATTACACACACACACATGCTATGAAACACTCGCACTGATTTTATGAGATATCTAGGGCTGTGCAAAAATTAATTGCGATTAATCGCATCCAAAATAAAAGTCTGTGTTTACATAATATATTTGTGTGTGCTGTATATAATTATTTTGTATATATAAATACCTATGCATGCATGTATATATTTAAAAAAGTGTGTTATTCATATATAAAATATTTGTATTTATATAATATAGATTATGTATTTTATATATATATATATATATATATATATATATATGAAGAGTTCAGATGCAAAAGCCTCTAAATGCCATTTGAAATTTTCTTCTTTAATGATGATTTTTATCAAACTTGTATATTTAAGTTCAGTAATTTCACTTACATGGCAATGATAATTACCTATTAATTGTTATTTAAGTGAAATTACTGAACTTAAATATACAAGTTTGATAAAAATCATCATTAAAGAAGAAAATTTCAAACGGCATTTAGAGGCTTTTGCATCTGAACTCTTCATATATACACAGAATTTAAGCACAAATAATTCTTAAATATATACATGCATGTGTGTGTATTTATATATACAAAATAATTATATACAGCACACACAAATATATTATGTAAACAGACTTTTATTTTGGATGCGATTAATCGCAATTAATTTTTGCACAGCCCTTTGTCATTGCTAACTGAGACCACTGTATATAAAGCAGACGCTAGTGTCCGAACTGATCGCCTGTAGTGAAGTGCTGTGTGTGTGTGTGTGTGTCTCTTACTGGTCCATCTCTCCTCTCACACACACATGAAGTGAGATCCGTCCGTCAGCTGTGGGGGGGAGGGTGGAGGCGGGGGGGAAGAGGAGGAGCTTGGAGATTGGGGTGGAGTCGACACACTGTTCACTGCAAAACACACAGTGCATGCACACACACACACACACACACACAAGCTGGTTAATAATCACACACTGACACATTCAAGCAGGGAACTAATCAACACTTCCTATTCACAACCGCTTCGTTTTAGTCACTGGACATGCTGGTTATGTCACTGGTTATGTTTTGATTGACGTTCACTAAAACACACACAGGTTTAGTGGTTAGTGCAGAGAGTTATATTCTAATCAATATAGATCGTTTAATATATGATTCACTACAAAAAAAAAAAACTACAAGGTATAGTGTTAATAGTACCGGCTGTAGCTGCCCAGAGGACTATGAAAAATGTATAAATATATGAATATATAAAATTTAGATATTACATAAAATGATACCAGTGTTACTTTTGTATCATTGAGAAAAAAGTTTTATTTCATTTTAATTTCGGCTAAAAAGTTTTAGTGATTTTCTCGTGTGTTTTTGACATTTCTTTTCAATTTTTATATATATATATAGTTTTTATACATTTTTGTACATTTTATTTTACTTCAGCAACAAAAATGTTTTGCATTGTTTCAGTTTTCATTAACAACCCTGATATAAACGTATATACCCATTTATAAATTAAGATACACATTTATGATTTAATTCAGGCTGTCAAACGATTAATCGCGATTACTCGCATCCAAAATAAAAGTTTGTGTTTACATAATATATGTGGGTGCACTGTGTATAAATATTTCTATATATATAAATAAATACACACACATGATTCTTTATATTTAGGAAATATTTTCATGTGTATACTGTATATTTATATTATATATAATAAATATAAATATTTTATATAGAAATATTTTTTTTTCTTAAATATACGTAAGTATGTGTGTGTATTTATATATACAAAATAATTATACACAGTGCACCCACATATATTATGTAAACACACTTTTATTTTGGATGCGATTAATCACGATTAATCGTTTGACAGCCCTAAATTTTTAATATAGAAATGATATATATATATATATATATATACATATTAAATAAATGATTATACAATGTGATTCACTAAAGTTCCAGAAATTATGGAATATATAATATTTACATATAATTTAATATATGATTTACTAAAATCAAACACAAGTACACAGCAGTGTTAGCGGCAGCAGGACTCATGGGAAGGTTTGAGGGGGAAGAAGTTCTTTAAATCTCAGTTTAATGGAGTGAGTCAGAACTGAAGATTGCCCACCTGACGTCAGTGTGCCATGCTTGCTATTGGTCAGCTCATAGGACACGTCCTGCTCTTGACTGGAGGGCTTCTCGTCGTCCTCATCCTCCTCTTCCTCGGTGCCCACGCGTACCATGACGGCCGTCTGCAAGCTGACACACACAACGGAGAGCAGTGAGCACTGCTGTTATGAAGCGCTGTGTGTGTGTGTGTGTGTGTGTGTGTCGCACCTGTTCTGTGTGGCCAGACTCCTGCGAAACTCCAGCGGACTCAAACGCTTCGGTTCGCCCTCGTTCAGCGTCACGCTCTTCAGAAGAGACTCTTTAAAGGATGCTGATCGGGACACGGGCGGTTTCTCCTGTGTAGACACACACACACACACACATGAAGTAAACTCTCATACTGGACTGAAGTGTGTCCATTCACAGTGTTCACTGCTACCTAAACACCTAGCAAGGGATATTTAGAAATTTGAGTTATAATTTAACCCTCTGATGGTCCTCGGTCACTTCTGACCGAATCATTTTCTGTTTTGAATTATTAAAAATCACAGCTTCATCGGAAGGTTACGATACTTGGTGACTTGTATGGCATTGTGTATGTGAACACACAAAAAAATTGAGGTCATGATCTGAGCATGCTAAGTGGTCTTAAAAAAAATAGTCACACTTGTGGTCTTTGGTCAAAAATGACACCCATAGGAAATGAATGGGAAATTGACAAAACACAAAAATTCCCCAGCTGTTTATGGACACATTTTTTTTTTTTTTTGAGGATTTGAATATATAATTGAAACAATCTCAAAAACTATTTCTTATTAAAAAATGTGTAAAAAAAAAAAAAAAAAAATTGTGAATTTTTGTTTTTGTCAATTTCCCATTCATTGCCTATGGGGGTCATTTTTTGACCAAATACCAAAATCGTGACTAATTTCTTTACGACCACTTAGCATGCTCGGATCATGAACTCAATTTTTTTGAGTGTTCACATCCCTAATGCCAGAAATGTCACCAAGTTTCGTAACATTCAGATGAAGCTGTGATTTTTAAAAATTCAAAACAGATTTTTTTGTAGTCTGAATTTATTGGTGTGTATGTGTATAAAAGTGTGTTTGTATGTGTGTGTGTGTGGGTGGGTGTAAATTTTTTGCACTCTTGATGTTGTAGAGTGTCACCCCTTTACTGCGGTATACTTCTTTTAAGAATCGTGGCCGATTTATAGATTGTACAAACAAAAATTCAGAGAAGTTGAAGCTTTTCATCGACCTTCTCAACAATAAAATATTTGATATAACCCTCCAATGCATAGTTAAGGCCCTTTAGGTGACTCGAGATGATATATAATCTTTCTGTCTCGTACTGTGACCGCTGCATAGCGCCTGTCCCCGAATGTTGACTGTGTGTCCGAGTGAGTGGAGGGGGCGTGGCTTAGCCATAGGTCAGTTGCATTTGAGGATATATATTTATTTATTTTTTTTTAAATCAAGCACTCGAGTTTAATCGAGGAATCGTGACAGCCCTAATATGTACTTTGTTCTCCAAGTTGGCATATCCAGAATCCACATCACGTGTTTCCCTGCAGTTCTCTTCCGCATCCGTGGGTTTCCCATCCGTCCGCTCTCGCTCCCGGCCCTCAGGCGACGGGTCTCTGCGCTCGTCCTGCTCATCCGGAGAGATCGCCGGGCTCTTCTTACGCGTCTGAGGGAACAAACGCTCACCGTTAAACCCCAGCAGCACACACACACACACACACACACAGAAGAGGAAGCCGTAAACACACACTGCTGGACAGGAGCGCAGCGAGCCGGAAGACTGTAAAGTGCACCGCTGTAGGGAATCATTACGAGCTCGATTCATCCAGTGATGACTCACTTTGAATTACAGCGCCGTTCCACAAACTTCTAATGGCGGAGCAGGTTTATGAGAGCAAGAGCCCTCCGGACCAGATGCATGATGGGAATGTGATGTTGTTCAGTGGTTTTCAGAGCAGGTTCACTCGAGTGAGACGGTAAATCTCAGATGATACGGTGAAATAACCGGACCTAACGTGTCCAGTGTCATCTTACGGTCCTCGACGTGAAAAAGCAACGCGAAGCGACAAAACTACAGCCAATCTGATGTGTAATAAACGGGACAGCAATGTGCCAAAAAACAACTTGGTACAGACATGCAAGTGTATTTTTAAGATAGATAGATAGATAGATTGATAGATACATAGGTACATAGACACATAGATAGATACATAGACACATAGATAGATAGATAGATAGATAGATAGATAGATAGATAGATAGATAGATAGATAGATAGATAGATAGATAGATAGACAGACACATAGACACATAGATAGATAGATAGATAGATAGATAGATAGATAGATAGATAGATAGATAGATAGATAGATAGATAGATAGATAGATAGACACATAGACACATAGACAGATGATAGATAGATAGATAGATAGATAGATAGATAGATAGATAGATAGATAGATAGATAGATAGATAGATAGATAGACAGACACATAGACACATAGATAGATAGACACATAGATAGACAGACAGACAGACAGACAGACAGACAGACAGACAGATAGATAGATAGATAGATAGATAGATAGATAGATAGATAGATAGATAGATAGATAGATAGATAGAGTTGGCACCTGTAGGGTGTAGTACGGGTTGTCTTTAGTGAAGGAGAGGCTGCGTGACAGTGAGCCGTCTTCTCTTCTTCGTTCACGTAGCGCCCCCTGCTGGTGTCGTCTGATTCGCTCCATCTGCTCCTCGACACTCATGCGTGTTCGGCCCACCTCTACAGCGCCGCTCATGTGCTCCACTGCGCTGCGGGGACGGTCCTGCGGGTGACACTGAACATGCGGATATATATATGCATTAACAGATATATTCAAACAAATATGAATATAAAGTATTAAGCTCAAACTCAATATATTTATATATATATATTCAACCAAAACCATCAAAAAATAATGTAATGACTTAATAATGTAGATATAGTAGATCTATTTAAAAAACAAACAAAATAACAATTTAATAATATATGATATTAAATGATATATTATATTAAATGTATTAAATTCAATTAAGTATTATCGTTATAGTAAATTTAGGGCTGTGCAAAGATTAATTCCGATTAATCGCATACAAAATAAAAGTTTGTGTTTACATAATATATGTGTGTGTGCTGTATGATTATTTTGTATATATAAATATGTATATATTTAAGAAAATGTGTTCATATATAAAATAAAAAAATTAAAAATAATAATAAATAAAATATTTATATTTATATATATATATATATTATAGATTACGTATTTGTATATCCACAGTATTTACGTGCAATTCTTAAATATATACATGCATCCATATGTATTTATATATACAAAATAATTATGCACAGCACACACACATGTATTATGTAAACACAAACTTTTATTTTGAATGCGATTAATCCCAATTAATCTTTGCACAGCCCTAATTAAATTACATCCTACACACACACACATTAAACCAATCTAAAACCTTATACCAGTAGTGTTTATGTATATATTTCTAAGATGATAACCAGATGCTGAAGTCATGCGACACCTGTGAAGCAAACTATTATTATAAATGTTTATTGATGTGTGCAGCATTTAAGCACCCAGGATGCCTAGCAATGCCTCAGCCAGGGTTGCCAAGTTCACGGCCTTCCTTTTACACTCATTTTTTTCCCGCGGGTTAAAGGTTTGACATTGTTTAAAACTGTCTTTGAATGAAATGCTTGTTTTGATGTATCGTTGACAAAACTGTGCTAGATGATGAGTTTCATGAGGGAGGGGCCTCTTGAGCTCCTTTACGAATTAACTACTATATAGTGATTTTTAAGTTGAATTGGGCTATTTGGACTATATTTGACAGGCCTTTTATTGGCAACCGCATTGCAACGGTTCATTTTGCACAGGCAAACACAACTCCCATATTTCACAGATCTATTTGACATGCTTACTGTTCTGGGGTCAGGCTTCTTGCTCTTCCTCAAGGTGACATAAGAGGCGATGGTGGAGGATTCAGGCATGGGTGATTTAGTCCTCGGGCTGACCACTCCGACAGGGTAAACGATACCTGACAGAGAGAGAGAGAGATAGAGAGAGAGAGATCAGTGAACAGCAGGGGAGGCGAGGGCTTTATGACTGGTTGTGTTGGTGTGTGTCAGGGCACCTTTGGTGACGCCGGCCGGCTCTTTCTCTGCAGTCTGCTCAGATTTGTCTTCGCCGTTACTCTCGTCGACCTCGGCTACCGTGGTAAGCTCCGGCTCGCTCTTATACAGTCTGTAATCCGGACCCTGGAGAGCAGATTTAACCTGGTTACACATTATTTACAGCACAGACACACACACCATACAAAGGTACAGATTCTGTGAAGGTTTATGCTTGTGGATTACATAATAAAATGGGAATGAGAATAAAAAAATACATTTGAAAGAAACTAAGCCTCACAAAGCACAAACCTATAGACCATTTCACAAGATGTAAACAACACTGGTCCAGAAGCACTTCCTGTTTCAGTTTTTTAACACTTCATAAAAGCTGGGATACAATACAACCAACAGAACATTTAAAACTGAATCAAAAAGTCATCTTTAAGATGTTTTCTTTACATGTGAAATAAAGAAAACAGTTACAAACTGAAACAGGAAGTGTTTCTGGACCAGTGTTGTTTACATCTTGTGAAATGGTCTATGCAAAGGCTATTGGATGTTTAACAGGAAGTGCTCGAGGATGTTGAAGATGGGTACATGCACAAAGTTAAGAGGGTTCAAAAGCAGAAAGCACCTGAAATGAAAACTACTGTAAGATTAAGTGAATATTCAGCCCTATTTCTTCATAACACAGAAAACAATAACACCATACATGCTTCTGGGGGATTTCGAGGGGTTAAATATGTATTTAAGTGCTGATATCTACAGAACAGGTTGCTGATATAAAACAGGTATATTGAATGAGTCAAACAATATTTCTAAAATGATTTAAGTCAAGTCAAACGTATTTGTAGTGCTTTTCATAATATACATTGTTTCAAAGCAACTTCATAGAAAATCATGATGTTATTGTTTATAATATCTTCATGCCTTATAGTAGTTGCATTTAGCTGGACAAAAATAGTTAAATAATGCAACGTACAAGAAATTAAGCTTTTGAGATTTGCTATATTGCCTTACCCTCGTATACTGTATGAATGTGGATATTTAATAATAATACATAAGTCTTATATAGAGCTTTCCAAGGAACTCAAAGACGCTTTACAAATGTATATTTAGGGCTGTCAAACGATTAATCACGATTAATCGCATCCAAAATAAAAGTTTGTGTTTACATAATATATGTGGGCGAACTGTGTATAATTATTTTGTATATATATATATATATATATAAATACAAACACATGCATGTATATTTAAGAAAAAAAAATATTTATATATAAAATATAGATATTTATATTTAATATAAATTATATAAATCTATATACAGTATTTACATGAAAATATTTCTTAAATATATACAAGCATGTGTGTGTGTTTATATATACAAAATAATTATACACAGTGCACCCACATATATTATGTAAACACAAACTTTTATTTTGGATGCGATTAATCGCGATTTTTAATTAATACGATTAATCGTTTGCATATCTAGACGATAATATAGATACATGTTGCAACGAAATAAAAAGATTTGTTATTTAGTATTATTATTTATTTTGAATAACACCGAATAATGTATGGTTGGCGGGTTTAATTTTTTTATGTACTTTTATGTATAAAAATAGGAAAAAAATCAGGCAGAAACGGTTGACCATCCACACAATGGGGAACACTACTTATTAGCTCATGCAAATTAGCATTTGCCTGGCTGATATATTGATCTATAACTAACAAAAACACAATCTAGAACAAATCAAATGATGGGTTTATGGAGCACTGAAATGAAGATGGCTGATGGGATGGGTGGGCGAGGGGTTCACAGCAGGTCTTACGCTGTGGGCACCGTTGCGCTGGGCGTTCTTGCGGTCCTCGGGCCGGTGAGGGGTGGTACGGGGCCGGTCGCCCCCCTCATACGAGTACGGGAGAGGAGGACGCGGAGGCACGGAGTCTGACTCCTACACATCGCACAGAACGGGAGAGTGAAGGACACTGTTGCCAGGTGCAACGGCACAAGAGACTCTCCAGTGAACCCACAACACACACTCGTCCTGAGGATCTGAGACTGCGTTACTGTGATTCAGAGATTCAGAAAATAATCACTTACTTCACTCTTGTGCAGGTTTGACAGCGGGTTCGCTCCAGGAAAACCTACAAATGGAAAAGAAAACGGTTCAACGGTCAAAAACGGTCAAAACGGTTTCTTGTATGATAACTGGTAACTGAAACTATTATTTACATATATATATATATATATATATATATATATATACCCTGAGGATGGTCTTTTGACCCAAAGCTTGGTGATTAAATTTGCAGACAGTTTATTGATTATTTTTTGAGATTTTTAGTCTTGTCTGTCTGGCACCTTGATGATCATGACTGCGGTGTAACTTCTTCATAACTGAAACTATTCAAAATCATTTACGTAAACTGAAATAAACCTGACATCAAATAATAATATATAAATATTGGATGAAAAACACAACATTTTTAGATTTGTAGCCTTGAATTAAAAATGCAGCCTTGGAAAATAAACAAAATAAAACTAAAATGGAAAACAAATTTAAGCTTAATAATAATAATATTTAAAAATAAATAATAAAAAAATAAATAATAGCCATAACTACATTAAAATGAAATGAAAAATGTAAATTTACTACTGAATATACAGTATATATAAATAAAAGCTCATTAAAAAAATATTAATATTATATAATAATATTAATATAACACTGATAACTGTTAAATTTCCAGTTATTATTGTCAATTACTGTAAAAATGGAATAAATTAAATGTGTGTGTGCATGTGAGTGTTTTAGATTTACGGTGTTTGTACTTTTACATTTTTTTTTTATTCAGGAACTCTCTAGTGTGTGTGTGTGTGTGTGTGCGCGTGTGCGCGTGCATGTGTTTGTGTGTGCGCGCATGTGTGTGTGTGTTTTAGATTTACTGAGTTTGTGCTTTTACACTTTGATTATTTTATTCAGGGGCTCCCTAGTGTGTGAGTGTGTGTGTGTGTGTGTGTGTGTGTGTGTGTGTGTTTTAGATTTACACTTTGATTATTTTATTCAGGGGCTCCCTAGTGTGTGAGTGTGTGAGTGTGCGTGTGCATGTGTTTGTTTATGTGTGTGTGTTTTAGATCTACTGAGTTTGTGCTTTTACACTTTTTTAATTTTATTCAGGAACTCCCTAGTGCCTGAGTGTGTGTGTGTGTGTGTGTGTGTGTGTGTGTTTTGCATGCTCTCTCACTGGGTTCTGCGTTTCTCTTGGGTTTGTTCTTGCTCAGAGCCTCCATCACATCCTGAATTCTCCACAACTCCTTCTGGATCTGAACGTGTTTCTGGCTGGGCGGCTCCGTCTGGACACACACAAACTCTTTATGAACACCTCAGCTCAATGCAATGGAATTAACACGGTAAGAGTGAATTCAAGCACACATCATTGTTAGTTAGCAGCATATATCGCGCTAGCATTAGTGACCTGCGGGCTCCCGAGGGCCTCGAGCTGCTCCAGAAGGTTGGTTTTAGCCAGAGTGACGTCTGCCTCCAGTCGATCGTACTCTCTCCAGCTCCGCTCCAGCTCCTGTGAGCAGCACAGCATGATGGGTGAGTGATTGGGAGTGTGTAGCTGTACATCAGTGAGTGTGTGTGACGTACAGAGTTGACTCGTGACAGCTCTCTGCAGGTGCTGAGGAGGCCGCTCTGAAGAACATCTCTCTGCTGGATCACGCTCTGGACCGACGCTGGATTTTCACAGCTCATCTCGATCTCCTGACTGGCTGACAGTAACGCCGTCTCCAGCGTGTGCTGCAACCACACACACACATGCAGGAATGAGACTATTAGAAGACTGCTACTGTATGTGTTGAGAATGGAGAAGTTTATGAGAAGTACCTTTTCTCGGTGAAGTTGCTGGAGTTTTTCTTCTTGAGTTCTCACTACTTTATCCTGCTCACAAAGCCGACTTAACTTTGCCTGAAACCGTAAAGTCAAGGTCAAATCTACAAAAGTGGGTTATTTTTTAGCAAACGCATATTAATATGTTCATGTTATCTCGAATAAATATGAGGTCATAAAAATGCATGTATAATAATTAATTATACAACAAATTAAAAAAAAAAAATGATGCAGATTCAAATAAATATGAGGTCATAAAAATGCATGTATAATAATTATACAACAAATTAAAAAAAAATAAAATGATGCAGATTCAAATAAATATGAGGTCATAAAAATGCATGTATAATAATTATATAACAAATTAAAAAAATAAATAAATAATGCAGATTTAAAATAAATATGAGGTCATAAAAATGCATGTATAATAATTATACAACAAATTAAAAAAAAAATGATGCAGATTCAAATAAATATGAGGTCATAAAAATGCATGTATAATAATAATACAAAAAATTAAAAAAAAATAAAATAATGCAGATTCAAATAAATATGAGGTCATAAAAATGCATGTATAATAATAATACAAAAAATTAAAAAAATTAAATAATGCAGATTCAAATAAATATGAGGTCATAAAAATGCATGTATAATAATAATAATACAAACAATTTAAAAAAAAAAATTAATAATGCAGATTCAAATAAATATGAGGTCATAAAAATGCATGTATAATAATAATAATACAAACAATTTTAAAAAAATTTTTATAATGCAGATTCAAATAAATATGAGGTCATAAAAATGCATGTATAATAATTATATAACAAATTAAAAAAATAATGCAGTCTGAAACGATAAAATAATGCAGATTCAAATAAATGTGAGGTCATAAAAAAGGGAACATATAATAATTTTTTAAAAAATAAATAAAAGAGTCTGTTTAACTTTCTGTTATCATATTGCATACATATGAAACATCAAAACTATTGTTGTTTTTAAAATTATAACACGTTTAAGCACCCTGAAAAGCTTTAATTGACATTGTTTCTTAGTTTGCACACAGACTTCAGTAAAAGCTGTTTTATTCCATATTACGTTTTAATAGGTTTTCTTGTTATTCATGGCTTCAAAAGTTGCTAATATTGCTTTATAGATTGAGATAACTCAATTCACATTTGGTAATTAATACCTTAATTTTTAAGTATCAATCCTAGTCCTTCATAAAGTGTATAAAACACTGTTTTGTGCACTACTTAAATGTGCAATATAAGCACAAAAGTGTATAATAATAGTCAATCATAAAAGCGATCGATACACTTACATCAATGTCCAGCTCCTCCGGTTTGTACAAGTAGGTGTTTTCTCTGTATTCTTCAGGACTCATCTGCTGAAATGAGAGGAACTTACGTTAGATGTTATATGCATTGTATAATATATCCTAGAAAGTGTTATACAGACTGCGTATGAAGCAATGGAGTGAGCCTGTATATACTGTAGCTCTACATGCAACTTACTCCTCAATGTACTGTCAAAATAACATAAATAACTACAGTAAATCCTGTAACAATTGCAGTCAGCACAATATAAACATGTGCAGTCAGTTTCACAACAGGGATCTTTATATACAGTCACACTGTATACAAAAGCACTGGGACTGACAATCATGCAAACTCCATCCGAACAGCAAACGGGCAAGTCTGATGGAAGTTTCTATCGTATACAAAGAGAAGTATGCAATAAATGATTTGCTTCCTCTGCGTTTTTGTCTTTTCCAGTACAAATATCAATCGAGATCGAGATATGTTAACTTGAGAAGCAAAAATCTGCCAATTGGGTCAGAAAAATAAACTCACTTATTGGCAGATACTCACTTGAAGGAGTTGTTCACTTTTTTAAAAAAAAAACCTTTTGCTGATAATTTACTCATCCCCATGTCATCCAAGATGTCCATGTCTTTCTTTCTTCAGTGGAAAAGAAATTAAGGTTTTTGATGAAAACATTGCAGGATTTTTCTCCACATAATGGACTTCAATGGGGACCAAACGGTTCAAGGTCCAAAAGAGAGTTTCATTGCAGCTTCAGAGGGCTTTAAACGACACCAGACGATGAATAAGGGTCTTATCTAGGACCCTTCGAGTCATGAAAGATTTGTTCGTTTTGATGAACGAGTTCGAACAGGAGAGTCACGAACGTGCATCACAGAACAGAGCAAGGCGACCATTTGTGCTTATAAAACTTAAACTTTGTTATTTATTTATTAAATGAGCGATCGTTTCGCTTGATAAGACCCTTATTCATCGTCTGGTGTCGTTTAAAGCCCTTTGAAGCTGCACTGAAACTCTCATTTGGACCTTGAACCGTTTGGTTCCCATTGAAGTCCATTATATGGAGAAAAATGCTGGAATGTTTTCATCAAAAACCTTTATTTCTTTTCCACTGAAGAAAGAAAGACATGGACATCTTGGATGACATGCGGGTGAGTAAATTATCAGCAGAAGTTTTTTTTTAAAAGTGAACTACTCCTTTAATATCTTGTGCTTGCTTCGCAAGGAAACATATCTTGATTTTAAGAATGGTCAAACTGTAAAACGACAAAAATACTGAGTAAGAATTGTTTTATTTCCCACACACTCATTCACACTTGTCTGCAGCCGGATGAGTTTATGCAGATATGAATCATCTCCTCACGGAAATAACGCTGTTTCAACACCATCTGGTGTGTAAGAATCACAAAACTGATAAGAGCGCTCATGTCGTACACGTCCACAACATCTGCTACGGGACACGCAAAGAGTTTGAGCGCCAATTTAAAATAAAACTCGCAAGACATACAACAAGAGGCATGTCCTCTGTTAAATATGAATGGAGTGTGTGCTTCAGAGCGGTTTCAGGAGGTCTGTCAGCGCTCGAGTCAGTGTGACTAATGACAACTAGAAAAAGCTGAGACTAAATCTGAAAGCCCACACACACTCCACTACAGGCCAGCAGAGAGGAACTCCTGACCCCAGATCCCAGAGTCCGACTTTAAAGGATTTCTCAGAGAGGAACCGCTGTCAGAGATTTGAAGAACAAAGAAAAATCTGCACATTAAAGGGATAGTTCACCCAAAAATGAAAATTCTCTAAAATTAAAACATTATTTAATATTGAAATGAGCGATCGTTTCACTGGATAAGACCCTTATTCATCGTCTGGTGTCGTTTAAAGCCGCACTGAAACTCTCATTTGAACCTTGAACCGTTTGGTCCCCATTGAAGTCCATTATATGGAGAAAAATCCTGGAATGTTTTCACCAAAAACCTTAATTTCTTTTCGACTGAAGAAAGAAAGACATGGACATCTTGGATGACATGGGGGTGAGTAAATTATCAGCAAAAGTTTTTTTTTCAAAAGTGAACTACTCCTTTGATATCGAATCTAAACATTACAAATCTAAAGGCATAGGGATATGCTCACAGCCTGATTGGTCGGCTTATTTTGCGATTAAACATACAAACATCCACAAAAATGCTAATTTCTGGGCTAAATGCACTCGTTGTATGTGCGTAGCCTACATATGATGGTATATTATGAAGCTGAACACTCGCGAAGAGCTTATGAAATGTGTAAAGGAGTCAAAACAGTGACAGGAACCCCTCAGTCACACACACAAACGAAGTGGGTGTATACAGTGCGGCTTCAAAGGGCTTTAAACGACACCAGACGATGAATAAGGGTCTTATCTAGGACCCTTCGAGATTTGTTCGTTTTGATGAGCGAGTTCGAACAGGAGTCACGAACGTGCATCACAGAACAGAGCAAGGCGAGCATTTGTGCTTATAAAACGTAAACTTTGTTATATATTTATTAAATGAGCGATCGTTTCGCTTGATAAGACCCTTATTCATCGTCTGGAATCGTTTAAAGCCCTTTGAAGCTGCACTGAAACTCTCATTTGGACCTTGAACCGTTTGGTTCCCATAGAAGTCCATTATATGGAGAAAAATTAATTGCGATTAATCGCATCCAAAATAAAAGTCTGTGTTTACATAATATATTTGTGTGTGCTGTGTATAATTATTTTGTATATATAAATACCTATGCATGCATGTATATATTTAAGAATTATTTGCGCTTAAATTCTGTATATATATATATATAAATACATAATCTAAATTATATAAATATAAATATTTTATATATGAATAACACATTTTCTTAAATATATACATGCATGTGTGTGTGCATTTATATATATAAATAAAATAATTATATACAGCACACACAAATATGTAAACACAGACTTTTATTTTGGATGCGATTAATCGCAATTAATTTTTGCACAGCCCTAATATTTATACTTAAAAAGTTGTCAATTTGGTGGCATATTTGTTGAATATTCCTCCCATTGAGCTACTAAAATCAATATATTACGTAGAAAATATATTTTTATTTATGTATAAAATCTCAGATATTTGATGCTACGACTGAAACTATTAATAAAATAATACGCTTATCCACTCTGTCATAAGGACAACAATATAGTTTTAATAAAACTATTGCAAATTACAGTTCCATAATGATTATTAAAATCGTTTTTGATGAGATTGGCCCTTTAAACCTTGTAAAACCATGTTTGTGTGACATTATCAGCGCAATGCTTTCCCTTTGAAGGTCAAAATGGTACGTGATGCCAAGTATAAACAAAAAAAAAAAGGCTTTGTACCAAGGCTTTGGTCTCCACACATTTGAGATTGAGCGGATACATGTAAGCTGGCGTGATGGATGAAGCCATTGCTAATGAACGTGACATTAGCACGAGCAGCTGGTCAGCTAGCTGTGATTCGTACGAAACGTTCAAGCCATGCCAATACCAGTTTGATTTTCAGCAAGAAAACAACAACAACGACAACAACAACAACAACAACGGAAACCAATGGGATATGCTGGAACGAAACCGACACAGGATGGGGCAGTGAGGGGGTGGAGCTTCGACAAAGAGGCGGGGCCCATGACACGAAAGGGGAGGAGCATAACCATGTGTTCCAAGACCTTACTTGCTGGTACAGTTGCGGCCTTGGCGCCGAGTTCTCAATCATAGTGTGAATCATGAAGATTATTGGCTCATTCTCCTTCATCTAGTACGTGAGGAGGAGGAGGAGTAACAGCTGTTATCAAAGCACTGCAAGACACACACTGTGTGTTTTAACAGCTTCTGACCCTTACAAATATCACAGGTCTGCTTTACTCATGCCTTTTCTTGTTCACTGTTCCAGAATAATGACTTCAGTAATGCAATATAATGTTAAAAGAAGATAAATTGTGTTGTGAAAGAAATACTGGATAATGTTGACCTTTTCAAAAACATCCTCAGCTTAAAACATCAAAATGTCCACCAAGACGTGTTTTATCAGAGATACTGAGTTCCCTGCGAGATAGATAAATATTACTGCAGTTTCATCTATCCACAAGAATAAAAGGATACGTTTTCAGACCTCAACAGTCAGGGGAGTCAGGTAGTTAAATAAAACTACAAGTTTCAGCAACTATACATTTCTCTAAACAAACTTAAACTTTACACAAAGTGAAATCTTGCCTTGGTAAATAAAATCAAATAAAAAGTTGAATTACTAAAACAAACAAATAAAAGCTCATTTCAAAATCTTGCATGGTGTAGTATTTGTATAAAATACCAATTTCTGAAAATACATTATAAAAACAGAAGACTTATTATTCAACTTCGACATAAATAATTCTTTATGGTATGAGTAGTTACTGTAATACCCAAGTCCCAAAACTTGCTTATGCCTGTAAAGAAAAGAATATTAAAAGGGCTTTCAAAAACAGAAAGGTTACTCTATTAGTTATATGAACAATACCATACACACACACACACACACACACACACACACACACACAGTACACTCTTGGAAGAAATGGTTCCATCCCCCGCTTCATATATGGAACTCCAAAATGGTTCTATATAGAACGTTTTTTTTTTGGTAAAAGGTTCTATTGGCCAAGTATGGAACCCCAAGGGTTCTATATAGAACCCAGAGGAACCTTTTTTTTAAAGAGTGTATAGAACCTTTTAGGGGTTCCAAATACATAGCGCTGATAGAACCTTTTAAGGTTCTATATAGAACCTTTTCTTCTAAGAGTGTAGGCTTCTATTGAGAAGGGACAAACTAAACAATACAAATGAACTATGTTCTTTCATTTTAAACTACTATAACAAAGAATGAAATGAATCTGCTATTATTAGGGACACCGTCTGCATTCGGCAAACGCAGAACTGTAGCAGATGCACTGACCCGAGAACAGAGACAACGCTCGGGTTTGATCTGTGCTGTTATAAAAGTACAGTAGGAAAGCCCCTCACCTGGCTGTCCAAGTACATGAGATTCCTCTGTAGGTGATGGGAAAGGATTTCACTCTAGAGACGCCAAGAGAAAGAAGATGAGAAGAGCAGTGAGAAACCAGAAACTTTGGGCTTCAGAGCAGGGGAAGTGCAACAGAGGCGGTGCAAAAGAAATCAGAACTAAAGAAGCCATTCGCTGCTGTCCGAGTCAACAACGGCGAGCTCCGCTTTATCCTGAAGTTCATCATGCACTTCTGCGAGATAAACGAAGCAAGCCGAAGAGCAAATCAGAAATAAGGCTCTTGCATATAAACGGGTCAAACAAACACACAACTTCTGCTGATCATGTTCCTCAAACTGCGTCACATGCATGCAGCAGTCGCACAAAACATGATCGAAACCTGCAGGATTGAAGGGTTAGTGGAAAGGAAAGGACGTTTCTCCACGTAATAACACTTCACATTAAGGTTTCATTTGTTACCTTAGCTAATGCATAAGCTAACATGAACAATATATTTTGTAAAGCATTTATTTCGTTTCCTTTCAGCGAACAGTTCTTGAAAGAACATTTTAATAATTTAAAGAACCTTTTGTGCAATGAAATGTTCAATCGTTTGTCTTCGTGGAAACATCAAAGACTAAATAAATAAATAACCTTTATTTTTTAAAAGTGTAGTTATTGAAAATGTATTAAATTATTATTGATGTTAATTCTTTACCCAACAGCGTTAATTAAAAAGAAAAACAGAATTTTAAAATTAATAAATTTTGCTGTATTAAAGTAGTTCACTTTTAAAAAAATGTTTGCTGATAATTTACTCACCCCCATGTCATCCAAGATGTCCAAATCTTTCTTTCTTCAGTTGAAAAGAAATTAAGGTTTTTGATCTTTTAAGGTTTTTATCTCCATATAATGGACTTCAATGGGGTCCAAACGGTTCAAGGTCCAAATGAGAGTTTCAGTGCAAACTGCAAAGGGCTTTAAACGACACCAGACGATGAATAAGGGTCTTATCAAGCGAAACGATCGCTCATTTAAAAAAAAAAAAAAACTAAGTTTAAGTTTTATAAGCTCAAAAAGATTCGTTCATTTTGATGAACGAGTTCGAACAGGAGAGTCACGAACGTGCATCACAGAACAGAGCAAGGCGAGCATTTGAGCTTATAAAACTTTGTTATGTATTTATTAAACGAGCGATCGTTTCACTATATAAGACCCTTATTCATCATCTGGAATCGTTTAAAGCCCTTTGAACAGTTTGCAGTTTGCACTGAAACTGTCTTTTGGACCTTGAACAGTTTGGACCCCATTGAAGTCCATTATATGGAATGTTTTCATCAAAAACCTCAATTTCTTTTCGACTGAAGAAAGAAAGACATGCACATCTTGGATGACATGAGGGTGAGTAAATTATCAGCAAGTTTTTTTTAAAAGTGAACTAATCCTTTAATATCTAAAACACACAATACGTCAAAAGAAAGAACAGCATCTGCTTTTAAACCAAACGAAACATTTTATTCAAGCTTCATGCTGTCTTTTTTTAATCAACACTTGAATCTGGGAAGGTTAAATTAAAAAAAGAGAAAAATCACGTTTAGGTCGAAGACTACGTCCGGATGAGATTCATAACGATGATCAAAACATCACCACCACCAAAGCTTCACAGTCATTACCTTTTCATTGGTTCGACATGTCATTCAGTATTGTTTGATGATCGCGTTATTTTACATGTGCGTATCACTTGTTATTGGATATGGAGATACTCTTTCTGGAGAAGCGTAATAGCGCCCCCTACTGTGTGTAACACTGAAATCATGGATTCCCACAAAATTGCAATCCCAATGGTAGGGAAAGTGTTAATACATGCAATAGAAGTATTGTTCATTGTCAGCTCATGTTAACTAATGTAGTAAACTAATTTCAACAAATGAAACCTTACTGTAAAGCACTAAATCTTGCATTGAAACTTACAGTGCAGTAGACAACCACCAATCCACAACAGCATGCGGAAGCAATGGGAGAACCACCAGACTAGGGGATGAAAGGGCGAGGTTGTGGGGTTTGCGGGGTGAACTAACAAGCCCTTTACTCTGGGATGCACAGGCTGACCTTTGGGTTGGTGGCATCGAGGTTTATCTGCATTAGCTGAGCGAGCGTGTGCTCACGGAGGCTGTTGAGCTCGGCCTGCTGCCGCCTCAGTTTGATGAGCAGAAGAGTCAGTTCCTCTGGCTGCAGCAGGACAGGACAGCGGTTAGTTTGGGCCGGGGTCAGGGGGTTATGGGGGTTTGGGCCGTGTTGTGATACAGATATGTGTTAAAAGTGTGTAAAACACATGGAGGAGCTCTATTTTGAAAAAAAAAAAACTTTTGCTGATAATTTACTCACCCCCATGTCATCCAACATGTCTTCAGTCGAAAAGAAATTAAGGTTTTTGATGAAAACATTCCAGGATTTTTCTCCATATAATGGACTTCAATGGGGACCAAACGGTTCAAGGTCCAAAAGACACTTTCAGTGCAAACTGCAAACTGTTCAAAGGGCTTTAAACGATTCCAGACGATGAATAAGGGTCTTATCAAGCGAAACGATCGCTCATTTAATAAATATATAACGACGTTTAAGTTTTATAAGCTCAAATGCTCGCCTTGCTCTGTTCTGTGATACGCGTTCGTGACTCTCCTGTTCGAACTCACTCGAACCAATCTTTTTTCGTGTCAATTGGTTGATTCTACGAACGAAATGCACGAATTGACTCGGAAAAATATTTGTTCGTTTTGATGAGCGAGTTCGAACAGGAGAGTCACAAACGCGCATCACAGAACAGAACACACAGAACATTTGAGCTTTTAAAACTTAAACTTTGTTATTTTTAAAAAAAATAAGCAATCGTTTCGCTAGATAAGACCCTTATTCATCGTCTGGTGTCGTTTAAAGCCCTTTGAACTCTCTTTTGGACCTTGATCGTTTGGTTCCCATTGAAGTCCATTATATGGAGAAAATCCTGGAATGTTTTAATCAAAAACCTTAATTTCTTTTCGACTGAAGAAAGAAAGACATGGACATCTTGGATGGCATGGGGATGAGTAAATTATCAGCAAAAGTTTTTTTTTAAAAGTGAACTACTCCTTTAACTGTGCTTTATAAATAAAGTGATTGATTGAGTTCAGGCTTTTTCATTAAAATGCTCGGTCTCCCTGAAATCATATCACAGACAATTTCTGCCTATTGTATTGTGGAGTTGCAATCTTTGATCTAATTCAACAAAAAAACACGTTCTCTAGCTAGAAACTAAGTACAATCTGTTTTTTCCAGCAGGTAAAGCTGGATTAAGTTTGAATTTGTTTTTAAGAAACGCTAATTCGAATTCTTCCAAGCAAATAACCCAGGGATCTGAGTTATCTTATGTTTGACATTTCATCTTGGGTTATAAAAATTCAAATAAAAGAAGTAACATCACAAAAACAAAGATCATAAAAACTTTCTCAGGGAGATGAAGAGGCTTTTACTGAAATCAAAATGTTTAAGGTACCAAATTTAATTTCATGGACTGTAGCTAAACACACTTTTCCAACAGTTACCCAGTGATGATGAGTAAAACACATATGGAGGAGCTCTATTAATATTTCATCAAGTGACCGCAGGCTTTTTCATTAAAAAAATTCTCGCTCTCCCTGAAATCATATCACAGACCATTTCTGCCTATTGTATTGTGTGTTAGTGAAATGAATAAATAAAAAGCATAGGCTTAACAGGTAAAAATCGGCCTAAGGCTGTTAAAACTTGAAACGTCAAGAAGAGAATAATAATTATAGTTTTAAGAAGAGCTTGTGGTATTAACACTACTCACAATAGACACACACACACACACACACGCTCCTCTCTGTGTCAGAGGCATTTAATCCAACCTAAAACATAAATAACCAACTCTTCTGCATTGAAACAACCAAACAACACACACACACACACACTAGTGTATTTGAATATCCGTTAAACTCGACATGAAATGCATTTGCAACCTGTTTTACAACTATAACGAGCAATACCTTCAGGTGAACTCATATTTTGACGATGATAAATCATGCACTGTAAAACCAGGAGCATGTATTAAGAAACTAACTAAATTTTGATCTCATGTTGACTTAAAATAAGCAGCTTCGACCTACGCATGTAAAGCTGCCTGATTTGCAAGCCTCAACAAATCCTCAGTGGCTTCCAACTGAAAAATGCAAAGAGTTTGACAGGAAAGCAAAGTTCTTACACAGAGGAAGAGGTGGGTGGAGGAGAGGGAAAGCGTACCGTTTTGCCTTGCAGAGACTGTGCGGTGATGCTCTGTGCGGGAGGAACGGGCCTGCGCTCGGCAGGGTAGGAATACTGAGAGAGAAAGAGCAAAAGCACAGCAATCATGACAAGCCGTTCTGCTGATGAGAGCATTAAACTTAAAGACTCGGTGAGCGGATAATGACAGTACGATCACTGAAAGACGTGTCTGAGCAAAATTCTTTACAGTCAAACCAAAAATTACTCAGACACTAGATATCATTTTACTAGTGGCTGCAAGACAATATAGTTTATTTATGTAAGTGAGGATAGCAAAATAAAGTAAACTGTGACATATTACTCCGAAAAATTCTTCATACAGTGACTACCAGTAAAATTTGGGAGCAAAAATTATTCCGACACTTTGACCTGACCGTGTTTTTTCATTAATTGCTAATGTGACCTTTTTACACACAGACTGAACAAAATGAAGCATTGCTTAAGCTAAACTGGTATTCTCTAATTGTGTAGTTAAAGGAGTAGTTCACTTTTAAAAAACTTTTGCTGATAATGTACTCACCCCCATGTCATCCAAGATGTCCATGTCTTTCTTTTTTCAGTGGAAAAGAAATTAAGGTTTTTGATGAAAACATTCCAGGATTTTTCTCCATATAATGGACTTCAATGGGAACCAAACGGTTCAAGATCCAAATGAGAGTTTCAGTGCAAACTGTTCAAAGGGCTTTAAACGATTCCAGACGATGAATAAGGGTCTTATGAAGCAAAACGATCGCTCATTTAAGTTTTATAAGCACAAATGCTCGCCTTGCTCTGTTCTGTGATGCACGTTTGTGACTCTCCTGTTCACAAATGAACGAATCTTTTTCCAAGTCATTTGGTTCATTCAACAAACGAAACGAACGAATTGACTCGGAAAAATATTTGTTCATTTTGATGAATGAGTTCGAGTGATCATTTCGCTTGATAAGAATCGTTTAAAGCCCTTTGAACAGTTTGCACTGAAACTGTCATTTGGACCCCATTGAAGTCCATTATATGGAGAAAAATCCTGGAATGTTTTCATCAAAAACCTTAATTTCTTTTCGACTGAAGAAAGAAAGACATGGACATCTTGGATGACATGGGGGTGAGTAAATTATCAGCAAAAGTTTTTTGAAAAGTGAACCACTCCTTTAAATTTAACGGCTGACGGATATTCAACATAATTCATGTGTGAGAGTCTAACAGAAGGACGGACAAAACCAGTCAAATATCTTGTCATATTTTATCGCCATTTTCTAAACTATAACTAAATGCAGGGTTAATACATCACACACAGACTAGACCTCATCTGTGCAAGCGTGAGTTAATGAGTGTTCCCGTACTGTGGGAACCCCATATGACTCTTTACCTTAGAGAGGTGCGGTCGGTGGCGCCGTTCAATGGTCACGTCCCCGCGAAACACCGGCGAGGAAACCTCCGAGCGGGAATCTGGGTTTAGAGGACGATTAGGGGAGAAGGTGTGGTAACCGGCCAGAGATCCGTGGGAAGGGGAGGTGGGGATGGACTCTGTGATCTGGCCCATGGTTTTAGGGCTGGGAAGCGTCCCGTATCCGATCCGGGTGTGAGACTGCCTCTGCTGCCACTCGTAGAGCTGCCACATGGTGTCGTCCCGTATGGAGCGGCGCTTCTCTGCCGTGGTGGGCTGTAACGCCCGGTCGTACATCGACCCTGTGACGCTGCAGATGCTGTCCGGACGGAGCATGTTGCGCGGGAGAGTACGGTAACCCTCGGGATAACGCGGCACGATCTGCGCCCGGTGGCTCGGCATATTCCTTGGCAACGTTTGGTAGGATGTTATGCTGGAAAATAAAGAAAGGGGAGTCACACAAAGGTCAATGATATACGAAACAACAGCACTTCAAGCAATCCAGTGTTTTATAATGCGATCATGCTAATAAGGCCTGGCTTTGACTTTGTGAGGATTTCCTGTTGTGCTGCAGGTGATCCTGTTATGCTTTTGTACACGTTCATCTCTCTTTAGTGTGTCATGAAAAAAGAGAGTTATTCTCTATATCAGTGTCAGTGTTTCTGAACTCAATTGTAGTCTTGAGTTTCTAACGGGAACGAACATGACACAATATTCCTCATTTAAATAATTAATGCGCAGAATAAAGGGGCGGGGCCTGGTTGAGTTAGTTAGTCGTGTGTTAAACTGGTGGTTATGGAAAGGGGCGGGACATTTCCCAAACACACTCGAAGCGCTTGATCAATCACAACGCACTGCTCCAGCCGGCCAATCAGAGCACAGTGTGCTTTTCAGAAGGAGGAGCTTCATAGAGACAGGAGCGTTACTGACAGACTGGGAAGAGAGGAGCCGCAACAATGGAGAATATGAGGAAAATAATCAACATTCAAGCATTAAAACCTATTCTAGCAGGAAACTCATTAATATACAGTATGATAAAAGAGTCGTGCTTATGCTGCGTTCATGTGCTATGGTAATTATGGTAAATACCAAAAGCCGACGTGGAAAATACACATGAACACCCCCTCATGTGGTAATTACCACTGGGCAAGTCGTAAAATATTTTGATGGACGAGTTGCCGAGATGAGATAACCTTTGACCATTTCAAAATGGCGGAGAGCACCGCGAGAGTCGTGAATGGTAAAAATATATACTATTCATGATCTAGAAAATATACAGCATATTATTTACCTTTTGAGTTTTGATAAATCATTTTTTTGCTGGTGCAGATGACTTAAGCAATCTAAAATAGTTTTAGCTAAATAACAGGTCTGGATCTCCATCTTTTTACCACATTACGACAACAGAAGCACTTGAACGCAACACACTGGTAAATCCCAGTTCACAAGTGGAAACTTTCCTATTTTCCATAGCACGTGAACGCAGCATTATACTCGTCACAGTGCTGCTCCCTCCATGAAAGCCTTCACCTTTGACTCCGGCTGATCATTAACGGTCTCTAATTTTCACTTGTCATCTGCCGATCGCTCAGAGATAATTACAGCATACATGCATCATCAACAGGAAACAGATGGGAAGACCGAGAGCCAGTGCAGTTTCTGAAGACTGTGCCGAGGGAGAGTTACGAGCACTACTCTTCCAGGAGATGGGGATTTCGGCTTCGGTTCCCTGGCATTTTTATAGGCACCATTAAAAGGTTTGGCTTGCACACCCTTGTATTGACAGAGTAGAAATCAATAAAGAGCTCAGAGTGCCAAAATTCACAAAACCACTAAAGTCACGTCTCTATTTGCTCTATTCTCCAAACCATGTTGGCTGGATGTAGAAGACCAACTCAATTTTTTTTACCATAGTGAACAATGCTGGCATGCATTAACCATCAAATAGTAAACATACTATTTATATATTAAATACTCATTTTTTGTTTGTCTTTTGATGGAAATATCTTTTACATTTCAGAATTAAACATTTTTGTCAATTTTAAAACAAAATATAATATTTAGAAAAATGGCAAACAAATTTGAAACTAAGAAACAAACTTTTTTTTATAAATATAATATATTTAAAAATATGAATTTATTAACAAACTAAATGCAAGGTTTAAAACTAATATGTTATTTCTTCACTTTTCAAAATATACATTTTAGTAGTAATATTGTGCAGAATTATGTCATTTTCATCAGTGTATATTAATGAAAAACTTAAATCGCCATATTATCTTTGTTTTTGTTGATGAATCCAAAAACTCTGTCAAAATGATTTTATAAATTAATGGTAACACTTTATTTTAGGGTCCAATTCTCACTATTAACTATTGCTTATTAGTATGCATATTGGCTGTTTATTAGTACTTATAAAGCACATAGTAATGCCTTATTCTGCATGATCATATTCTACATCCCTTAAAACTTAACAACTACCTTACTAACAAATAAAAAGCAGAAATTAGGGGTTTATTGAGCAAAAGTAATAGTCTTTTCAAAATTTAGTTAATAGTGAGAATTGGACCCTAATCTAAAGTGTAATCACTGACAATTTATGATTTTTGTCTATGTCAATCAATTGCATCCTGAATCTTGAGTGTTGGTAACATTAAACGAAATAACCTAAAATTCAGTCAATAAATAAATAAATAAACAGACCAATCGCAGCATGAGATCATGCAATCTGCTGAGGGTTTGGAAAGAAAGTTTGCGATTGGACGAGACGTGCATACGCAAAGACCAACTGTCAGAAATAAACAAGCATAGCGATATGTGCACAAGTTGCAAAAATATTAAAGAGAGCAGAGACACGCTTCACCAATGCCTTTTGATAATGAGCATGAATCAGCATCTTAAATAACGCTGTTCTCTCTCCTCGCTCGCCCCGCTGACAGCAACTCTGATCCACTTTGAGACAAATTTTGGTGGTGCTTGAGCACAAAGCTCCATGACTTATTCATCTGAGGAGAGGAGGACGAGACAAGCGAAGCAAACGCAGGGCTGAACGGAGGATGGCACCTGACAGCGGTAACCAGCTTCATCCTCTCGGCTCGGAGGCCGAGGTACAAATATCTGTTCGCTCGTGATAAAGAGCTCATGGAGGAACACTGCCTGCAGACGCTGGAGTGTGTTGTGTCAGGGGACTGAGAGTGGGAGAAGAAACACTGTGTTCTGCTGCATGAATCCAGTGTTTGTCCAGTTTCTGACAGATAGACGGAGGGTATAAAAATACAACTTCATATGCACACAGTATTTTGTAAGTTTGTAAAGTGCACATTATACAGCTAGTAAAGCATGTATTGTGTAACAAACTACACAATGCACACTTTACCAAATCCTCCTTTTACTAAATAAACATTATAAACCACAAAATAGTAAACCCCTTAGCTGTCACCCTCCTTTTTGAGAATGCACTTTTCACACTTAAATGGTTTTAATGCAAGAATGCTTTGGAATATATAGCCAAGTTTGGTCTCGCTGAAGTGAAAACATTTCAAAAAATCAAAGTATGAAAAAGTTATGGAAGTTTGAATTCGCAGTAAATCAAATATACTGTACTATATATTTTTCATTTTATATAAAATATATATTTTACAAAATATTTTTTACTCTAAAATTACTATAAAATCAAAGCCATGAATTTAACCAAGTTATGTTCCAAATTTGAAGTTGATATCACAAAAATTGAATTTGATTTTGTTGAGGCGTAGTACCAAAAATAGCCACCAGGTGCCATTGAATTCCATTGAATTTAGTTGTATACATTCTGCCTTAACCAATTAAAACATTTCTGTCCAAATATAAATTTTGTCACAAAAGAGACTCAGACCTTTCTGACAATATGTGTATTGTCCAACACTATCTCACGACCAATTCGTACGAATTCGACGCATGATTAAAAAGTGGCTAATTCGTACTAATTCGTACGACCTCACTCGTACTAATTCGTACGATTTGTCTAAACCCACGTGATGGTTAGGTTTAGGAGCGGGGTAAGGGGTAGGTCATTCGTACGAATTCATACGAATTGGCCAATTCGTAAAAAATGTACGATTTAGCAAAATCGTATATATTCGTACGAGTGAGGTCGTATGAATTGTTACGAATTAGCCACTTTTTAATCATTCGTCGAATTCGTACGACTTGGTCGTGAGATCGGGTTGGTATTGTCAAGATTAGAAAAGGTTTTGATCATAAATTATGAAATATAATGATGCCCAAAAGGGGAGGAGCCTGATAAAATACCAAATGTTTCTATGGTAACGCAATATTCAATTATAAAACGGTTTTCACAGGATGAATTCTGAGTTTATAAGTTTTCAAATGATACCTAATTTATGATAACTACTAAAATATCTGATAATAAAAAAGGCGATAAAAGAAATAATATTATATTTTCGAGGAAACTATATATATATATATATATATATATATATATATAATTCTAATTTTTAGAGGATAATATTGTACTATATTTTTTATTTTTTATTGAAAAATACTAGATTATATGTTTTATTATGAACTTTTAGCATGATAATGATTAAAAGCGGGTGCATTGACTTTTTGTGACAAAGGTCAGACCTCCTGTTATGATGCAGATTTTCTGAGGTGTGCTCTTGTCATAAATTCATCAATTATTCTTCCTACATAATTTGTAACAAAAAACAGGGGTGGAATATTTATTTAAAAGTCTTAGACCTTTCAAAACAATATATAATTTGTCATAATTAGATTAGGATTTAATAGAAATATAGTGAAGTAAAGTTAGGCATCCCGGTACCGGGACGGTGACAGTTAACGGTTCAATATAAGGGGATCATGACATGGTTTTTTTTTTATTTTATTTGATCATTTTCAACCCAAAAAAAGCCACGGACTGCAGATTTCAATAAAACAAATCAATATTTGACATCGAGAGTCCTCACCTCCGGGTGTCATCGTCCGGGGTCCGAGTGCGGTGTGTGCGGACCCACTGCTCCAGCTGCTGCATCGAGCTGGTCCTGCTCAGAGATCTCTCGGGTTCAGCCGGCTGTGGCGGGACCGGCGTCCTCAGGGGAATCGTGTGGCTCATGTCGCCGGGGCTTCGGTCTCCTCCTCGTTCCCCCGAACCGTTGACCTGGGACGGCATGTACTGTCCGGGTCCGGATCCGGATCCCGCGCTCTGGATCTGCCTGGAGGACGAGACGGCCAGAGCGATGGCCGCCGCTTGAGCCGGCTGGAGTTTGATGCTGTTGATCTTCGTGAGCGGTCGCTCCACAGCGCCCTCTTTCTGGAAGCCGTATTTCTCACCCTCCCGAGGGGGCGGGACGGGTTTCTCCGGGTCTTTATGCTTATCTCCTTCCCTCGGGAGCGTGAGAGAATACCGTCCATCTTTCTGTAGGATCTTCTCGCCGTCTTTAGGTGGCGCGTCCCTCTGAAGCGTGTACTTATCTCCGTCCTTGTGTAGCGTGTACTTCTGCCCGTCCTTCTGGAGTAGGTACTTCTCTCCGTCTTTGTGGACGGCGAATTTGTCGCCGTCTTTCTGGAGGACGCATTTCTCCAACATGTAGCGGTCGCCGTCCTTCTGCAGAGCGAGTCTCTGAGCTTCTTTGTGCAGAGCGTAGTTGTCGGTGTAACGCTCTCCGTCTTTCTGCGCGCTACTCCTGCTCTCTTTGTCTTTTTGGATGCTGGGCTGCTTGTCCGCGGGTTTCTGCTTCTTCTCCTCCTGGCGGTGAGTCTCGCGGTTTCTCTCATTGTTTTGGATCTCGGGTCGGGTCAGGACTCGGTGATTCAGCATGTTGTTCATCTCCTGAGGGCTCCGTGGGTCAACCTTTACCTTCTCAAGCCTGTAGATAAGAGAGAGAGAGAAAGTCATAACATTCATGCTAATTACTTTTCATGTAGTGTGTGATATAGACCCCTTTTGCGCCGACGTCACAGTTATGTCACGGCACTAGCTGGAGGCAAAACAAAGTGAAAACTGGAGGCGGCCAATACAAACCAGAAGAGATTCGGCTACATAATAAGGAGCTTAAATAATTGTTACTATTATTAAATGTCATCTTGTTGTGTTGTTTGGTGCAAGAATTGATGAAAAATGAATAACTTTTATTTCTAGAAAATATTCACATCATTAAAATCGCACTGTAATGTCACTCTTTACATTGTCGTGGTCTCGGCAGAACTGCGGATCGTACACACAAGTCTTGTACAGGACCATATAGGCATCTAAAGATTTATATGCCCTCAGTTTCTATTTACGATCGTTTTCTCGATAAGGTAGGTGTAGAAGTCAGACCACTCAACCGAGGTAATGTACGTTAATCCTGTCAGATCGTCCATGCATTGAGTGAGCGTGTAGGCGGCTACGGGTCGGCCAATCTGGTTCTGTCCGTCAAAAATAACTTTTGGAAATAACAATCGCGGTCCTGGACACTGAGTGACCTTACTCATTGAGATAATATCGGATTTTCTCCAGTCATTGTTAAAAAACAAGCTAACCTTGCTAACTAGCGTTAGTGAAGCGGCCCGAGGGATCTTTCTGCCTCCACCTAAGCTCCGCCCACAAAAAAACGTCACCATGTTTACCAACTGAAAAGGGTCTATAAAATAGCTGTGAATGTAAAAGGTCAAAGTGCTATTGTTATTCTCTCCAAACGAAAGAATGAACTGAAACGAGTCATCAGTAATTCCAGTTTTACTTATTGCCCGAACCTATGTAGTTTTGTTCCCGGAGGCGACCAATCACAACAGACTGGTCCATCTGACCAATCAGAGCAGAGGAAGCTCTCGGAAAGGCGGGGTTTAGAGAGACTGAATCCTTGATCAAACCGTTTCAGACACTGTGAGAGAACAGGTGATTCTCTAATGTATGTTATGATTAAATTAAAGTGTTTTTTGACATTGGATGCATGTAAACCTGTAATAGAAGACTCTAAAACAAAACTAAGATCCTTTAAAATAGCATAATAGGGGCCCTTTAAAAGAAAAAGATGGAAAAAGCAATTAAACTGCTCTAAATGCACAATATATGAGGTCTTTCACTTGACCAAATTTCTTCAAAATAATTTACATACTGTGATTCACAAATTGTTAAACCAATATTTGCCCAAAAAATATGATAATTTATGCTACGGTTGTTGCATAAGAGTGTTTTAAGGGTTACTGATATGATATTGTGGTCTTGTATGGTTTGTAAAGCACACTTCTGGTATCTCTGCCACTTTTATCATCCGCCATGTGAGCAGCTTAAGTCTGAACAATTAGTAAAGTAACAGAATGCCTCTCCGTTCCTTACATTAAGTTTAATACTTAGGGAGCGGTAATCACACATTAAAAGCAACGGTCTGGTGGATCTAACTCTAGTTTCTGTGCCTATCACAAAAATCTCAACTGTAATCTCTACACCAAGAAGCTTTCACAAAGATTACGCCTTAAAACTGTGTAATACAGAGCAATACGCTTGCACTTTTTGACCAAACATGCATTTCCATTAAAAAAAAGCCACTTTATTTCAATGAAAACAGGTCATCACAGCTGTGATCCAATTGCCAAAAATCAATTTTAGTAAAAAGCAAATGTTTAAGTCTGAGAGATTTCTTTGGCATCTGTGATTGTGCTAAAAGCTGCACTGAAACAGTCTCAAAAACATCCACTGCACTTAGAAATCTGTGAAAATCTGTGCTTGTGAGACTCTCTCGGGATACAAGAGGCTCTTGTCTAGAAACTCGACAGCTTTCCTCAAAAAGACACGACAAAAGCGCTGTGATGGAGTGCTAAGAGCAAAGACAGGCAGGTCAACAAAGACAAGTTAACGGTATAAAAAGTTCAAGATAAATAGAGAAAAAATAAGTCTACAAAGCCATGGTGCAATGTTTGAGATTTCAATCAATGTTTCCCATTTATAATGTCTTAAGCCCTCAAACCGTATTCACTTTATAGCCCTTAATCCTGTAATTGTGGACAAATGTGGGCACAGAGGACTCTGGTGTGATCCTAATTTTTATTTATTATAAATGTTATATCACTGTCTTCGATAAAGTTTTGTCTATCCATTTATGGTGTGTTATTTTTATTTTGGGGGTATTTTTGAATTTATTTACTTCAAAAAGTACCATATTTTCTATGTAAATTATGCTTATTTTTACGTTTTGTTTTTTTAACTACATTAAAATATCATTCCAATAAGTTCTTAGAGCTAAAACCTAAAGATGAAGTGACTTTGCCGTCACGTGGTGTCTTATATTGGCTTATTTTAGAATGCTCTAAATTAGTTTTTCCCATTCATTTCTACGGATGCCCATTTTTGACCCAAATACAAGGTTAAGGAGTTTTTTTTTTACCCACTTAACATTGTAGAATTGAGTCAAAAAAACATTGTGTGTTCAGGAGGCAAACTTAGGAAAATTAGCCAAGTCTTGTACCGCTCAGATCAAGGGAAGTATTTTTTAAAAATAAATCAAAACTATTTTGCCCACATTTGTCCAGAATACGGTCATTTCGTAAAGATTGTACTTAAAAATGCTGACTTTCTGACATACAAAATGTTCAGAATCAAACTCATTTAAGTGTTCTCTCAATAAACCTGATGATAAGTAACATTTTGACATTATTACTGATCATAAAGAAGATTTTATGATTATTTTGAAATTATTTACTACATTGCTTTATTATTATTCATATTCAAATTTATTGTTGTTTTATACTTATTCTTAGACTGGAAAAACAAACAAACAAATATCTGCAGATGTCAATGAAGTGGCACATCATGTGTTCTTCTTACCTTCTGATTGGCTCAGTGTGGACCATCGCCGCGTCCGTCATAACCTTCATCCAGGACTCCATATCTTTGGCTGTGTCGGTGCTGAAATAGTATGTGCGCATGTTTGGATGTGTCGCCTAGTTGTGAGAAACCAACAGAGCAACCTGGGGAAAATAAGAGCAATGAATATCAATAAACAACTGCCTTGCGTCCTAGATGATGTCAGTGGCTCAAAATGCAAAAATGCTGGAGCAGTGTTTCTGAAGCGAGCAGATCTGCGTCAGGAGGGTTTGAGTTGACAGACCCCCATCGTTCAGTCTCTCAGGAGTGTGTCTGACAGCTTTTGTCTGGATACTCCAACCCGTCTTTCACAACAGTTTATAGAAGCTTCAACGAATGAAGCGGGATAGTTAACAAGAACTAGTGAGCCCCTAGTGAGATCCCTCAATCTACATAAGCAGCTTCCTCCACAAATTACATTTCAATTAGATGCACTCTTAAAAATAAAGACTATTTATTGGCATCATTGGCACCAAATAGTGGGAAAAAAACATCAAAATGAGGAAGAAGGAAATTTGTCCATCTGTATATAAATTCTGGTCAAGTGTCCAAGTTTGGTTAAAGACGAATAGAATAGAACTTACCATAACACCACAAACTATTGTACTTGGTCATTTTACAGGTAGTTTTCTTTTGTTAAATACCATTTTATTAATAGGGAAAATTTTTATTTTTAAAACAAAAACATCATCAAGTGTTTAGATCACTTTAAGAATGTTATAAGGTCTCATCTTCGTTTAGAAAAGATAATAGCAGAAAGTAAAAATAGATTGGATGACTATAATAAAAAATGGAATAATATTCTATGTGTATTATAATTATATCTTTTTCATATCATATTTATTCTACTGTCGTAATATATTTTGTAAAGTGTCTATCTTTTCTCATGTATGTTCTGGGGTATGAATGTATAAGCTGAAGATTTTGGTCTGTAAATTGTATTTCTTATTACATAAAGATGAAAAAAAGAACATCAAAATGAACGAATCTTTTTCAGAGTCATTTGGTTCATTCAACGAACAAATTGACTTGGAAAAAGATTTGTTCATTTTGATGAACGAGTTCGAAACGTGCATCACAGAAGCATTTGTGCTTTGTTATTTATTTTTTAAATGAGCGATCGTTTCGCTTGATAAGACCCTTATTCATCGTCTGGAATCGTTTAAAGCCCTTTGAACAGTTTGCAGTTTGCACTGAAACTCTCTTTTTGACCTTGAGCCTCTGGACAAAAAAATGTTTACGTCATCGGAGGATTTTTTCCAGACAAAAAAATACATAAATCTCTCGTCTCGGGGGGATATGAGCACTGTAATTTGAAAACACTACAGGTTTCCTACTAATGCAAAGCTTAATGCTAAATCCTGAAGTGTCCCTTTAAGGACTAGATCATTTAGGAATTCCTGATTAATATGGTGAGGTGTGTTTATGTGGCATTGTGTGGACAATAATTCAATACTCACCGTATTAGCAAAGCTCCATCCGGTAAACATGTCTACGCTCGAGTTCATGAAGCCTCACAGAGAACAAGCCGCACCATTGTGAGAGAGAGAATGAGATCAAGAAAAAGAAAAATATCGTTTCATCACCTGCCCATCACATTAACATATAAAATATGGCCATGTTGGAAGGAGTCTGACCTTGAAGGCGTATTTCCTGCTTATGTGGTCGTCCACGGACAGCATGGAAATGTGGAAGCTGGGCAGGAGGATACTTCCCAAGATGCCTTCTTCTTTCTCATCTGAAGACACAAAGAGAGAGACGTCGTGAACATTAGCATATATTAGACGTCAGCCAGAGAGCTTGCCATGACGGAGTGCTTATTTCGGCGGGGGTGTTGGTAAACAGACAGTCTAGCGGGGCTGATGGGAAAACTGCAGCGCTGTGTGCATTCGAGCATGTCAATGAGGTTGTGACTGTTCTCGACTGTGAACTCTATCGTTTTGATTGCAGACTGCAACGAATCTGTCAAGAGTTGAGTCAATTCAGAGTGACAGCTGTGTTAACAGTTACTGTTATCGTAATAATGCAGAAAACAGCACGTTCCCATCACTTTTCACGGCCATTATGCCCTTTATTATTTCCAACAATCACATAAAACTTGCAAAACTCGTCATTTTATCATCTGTAAGGTGATACAGCAGGCATTAAAGGAGTAGATCACTTAAAAAAAAAAAAACTTTTGCTGATAATTTACTCACCCTCATGTCATCCAAGATATCCATGTCTTTTTTTCCTCAGTTGAAAAGAAATTAAGGTTTTTGATGAAAACATTCCAGGATTTTTCTCCATATAATGGACTTCAATGGGGTCCAAAGGGTTCAAGGTCCAAAAGAGTGTTTCAGTTCAAACTGCAAACTGTTCAAAGGGCTTTAAACGATTCCAGATGATGAATAAGGGCCTTATCAAGCGAAACGATCACTCATTTAATAAATAAATAACAAAGTTTAAGTTTTATAAGCACAAATGCTCCTTGCTCTGTTCTGTGACGCACGTTCGTGACTCTCCTGTTCGAACTCGTTTATCAAAATGAACAAATCTTTTTCAGAGTCATTTGGTTCATTCAACGAACGAAACGAGCGCACTGAAACTGTCTTTTGAACCGTTTGGACCCCATTGAAGTCCATTATATGGAGAAAATCCTGGAATATTTTCATCAAAAAACTTAATTTCTTTTCGACTGAAGAAAGAAAGACATGGACATCTTGGATGACATGGGGATGAGTAAATTATCAGCAAAAGTTTTTCGAAAAGTGAACTACTCCTTTTAGTCGAATAAATTTCAGATCAACTGCAATTGTTAATGATATTGCCGTTATACAACAGTTCAATAAACTAGAAGTTAATATTGAGGAACTTACAAACCAACTAATGAAAATACTCCCAAAGTCAAAAGAAATCTACCATAGCACATCTCCATGAAGTGTGAATCAGTGAGTTTGAATGAATCACTTGTGTCGTTCCTGAATGAATCGAATCGGTTGATTGACTCTAAAATTCAGTTTGTTTCCAAATGAAGGAATCGATTGAGTAAATGAATAACTCACTCAAATATATACTATCAACTGTTGCATAATTAATGTTAGGCAGATGTTTGGATCCCTATCCCGAAATATGGGCAATATAATGATTGCTATCGTCTTTTAAAAAAGTTACATGGAGCAAGTTTTTGCATCCATAAGTGTGTTCTGGAAACATCCCACACGCTGTGAGCGTCTCAGATCCGCGAGGCGGTGTTCAGAGCTCCTGTGTGTTGTTGCCCGTGGCTGACAGCAGCGAGACGAACAAACAAACACAAACCAACACAGAGAGAGTTTCAATTCTCTTGTCAAGATCAGACTCAGCGTGGAAGCTTCAGGGAAACCACATACTGATACAAAAAATAAATAAATAAATAAAAAAATCAAAGCTGGATATTAGAACTACACGGCTCTAACAATTCTTCTCATAATCACATAATTCATAGATTTTATCCCAGAAATTGATCCGCAGTCATTAGGATTAGAGTTGTAAAGAACAATTATGGGATAGTTCACCCAAAAAAGAAAGCTCTAACATTATTTTACTCACCGTCAAGTCTATACATGCATGAAGTTCTTTCTTCTGTTGAACATAAATGCAGATATTATTTTTTGAAAGAAGTCTCTTTTGTTTACCAAGGCTGCATTTATTTGCAAAAAGAGAAAATAAAAGTACACACAAATCTGTAGAGACTCCAAGTGTGATTAGGTATCACATGCCTTACATAATATGGGAGTTTTACCATGGCGACATACCAAAACCAGTGAACTAGTGCAGTACCAGCTAGTACAGACAGGAGGCGCCAGTGATCCCGCCCTCCTCGGTGGTCAGGGCATTCAGTGCTTCACCAATGAACAACATTTAATCTGAGCCGCCGAAAGACGGATGATATGAACAGAGCAGTCTGAGCACGTCTGCGGCGTCGTTCGGAAACTCCTCTGTCTTCGGTCAGCCAATAAACAGATTCAACCCTCATGGTCCCGGCCATGAAAGAGCGATCTGATTGCACTGCTGGACTGGTTAATTGCACAATTTATGGAGATCTAGGAGCATGTCCTCAGGAGACTTCAGCAGACTTGAGACACATTTGGACTGTTTTGCCTCCCTTCCTTTCTCACTGAATATGAGTGTTTATTAAATACCCGACTATAAACCCTAGAACTGAATTATTAGTGAATCGAAATCATCACATGGAATCAGAATCATTAAATTGCAAATCATTTCCTTAAAGTTCTGGGGTATCACTTTACTTGAAGGGGTGTGCGTAAGACTGACACGACACCTTCATAATCATGACATGACACATGTATATATGAAGTAGCGCTTATGCATGTTTGTGACAACTGAATTGTCATTCGCTCAGTTATGGCATTTTTAATGCAAATATGACATTGTTTGAGATGTCTTTGACATAAACCAATACATCATAACCTGTTATTATGACAACTTGACATTACTAAGAAAACACAACCTGTCATAAACATGACAATAATCAAACTTAAAGGGTTAGTTCACCCAAAAATGAAAATTAAGTCATTAATTACTCACCCCCATGCTGTACCAACCCCGTAAGACCTTCGTTCGTCTTCGGAACACAAATGAAGATATTTTTGATTAAATTTGAGAGCTGTATAACTACCACATTGGCTCCTAAAGGACTGCCTCTTGACGGCCCAGAAAGTCAATGAAGAAAATGTTTAAATATTCCAAGTGACTACCGTGGCTCAACTATAAGTTTATCAAGCGACGCGAATACTTTTTGTGCGAAAAAACTAACAAAAAAACGACTTTATTCGACTATTCCTTTTCTTCCTTGTTGGCCTGAAACGAGATCTCAAGAGATTTCCACGACGCATGCGCGAGAATTGCGATCTCCTTACACTACTTCAGTTCAGCTCTCGCGCATGCGTCGTGGAAATCTCTTGAAATCTCGTTTCTGGCCATCAAGGAAGAAAAGGAATAGTCGAATAAAGTCGTTATTGTTGTTTGTTTTTTCGCACAAAAAGTATTCTCGTCGCTTGATAAACTTATAGTTGAGCCGCTGTAGTCACATGGAATATTTAAACATTTTCTTCATTGACTTTTTGGGCCGTCAAGAGGCAGTCCCTTAGGAGCCAATGTGGTAGTTATACAGCTCTCAGATTCAATCAAAAATATCTTCATTTGTGTTCCGAAGACGAACGAAGGTCTTACGGGGTTGGTACAGCATGGGGGTGAGTAATTAATGACTTAATTTTCATTTTTGGGTGAACTAACCCTTTAAGAAAGCACCTAACTTTATGGGTTAACATTACATTAAACTGTCTTGTGGTTGGCTTTGACATTGGCTGTCATGAGGCTTTATAACTAATTAATCCTATCGCACAAACAATGCAAATGAAGACGTTTGACTCACCTCTGTAGTAGAAGAGGCACATGTCACACAGCACGAACCATCTCTTCTTCCACATCTTCATCCCGGTACTGTCCTGCAAAAGTCCAGAAGCAGAACAACCACTGTCAATCAAACCAGCCAACCAATCACAGTGCAGCATGGAGAGCCCCGCCCATTCCAATGCCTGCTTATTTTCCTGAGACGGCACCAAATATCTCAGCTTCGGTCTCATTTTGTTGAGTTAAATTGCTGCGGTTCTCCAGAGCACAAACTCATCTCTTTTGTAAGGCGACTCATTTTATTTGCGGCATGAATCATATCCCTCCCTCGTGTTTTACTGTTTGTTGTGTTAATGTTTGCGCCATGTAAGCATGTAAATTTTAATTTCGACAACAAAGCCTGACGGTTTTGCTTGTGCTGCGGGAGCGGCTTTGATGGAGGATGTTTGGGGAAGGGGAGAGACCACCTCTGGAGCCGTGTTTTTCGTGGAAACGCACTGCTTTCAAAGGAACGCTGGTGCAGCGATCACACACACAAAGACAACACGAAGTTACTGATGCGGCCGTGGCGCTTTGTGTGTTTATTTCACTCTGCCTTTTATGTGAAGCGCTTCTGAAAAATATGATGCAAAAGCACAAATGTGCCTCGGGAGTCGTGCATGAACTGCATTAAAACACAAGCTCTGATTGAACCTTATGATGGATGAGCTTTTAAGTGCAGTCAAATCTCAGAAAACATGACCATCAGCAACAAAATAACTTAAAAAGTAAGTAAAGTAAAAAAAGTTAAACTGATAACATTTACCTCGGTTTGCACTTGGCAAGTTTTTGTACATGTACTCTGGAAGTACATTAGTGTAACATGGGAATAGATATCATTACCATAATGCAAAACAACACTATTCTTATTCTTACCGTATATATAATTACGTTTAATAAATTATATTTATGACTGATACTGTTTTTTTTTATTCAGATTATGTCTGAATATGCTTAAATGCCATGCAAATAATGTTATAATGCAAAAAAAAAATATTTCTATAATGCTGTATATTTTTTATAGAGTCCCATAAAATGCATATCATTACCGTAATGCAAAACTGATATTATAAATTACAATAAAATGGGATAATTGATACTTCAGTTTTTTTAGGGCTGTGCAAAGATTAATTGCGATTAATCGCATCCAAAATTTAAGTTTGTGTTTACATAATAAATGTGCGTGTGCTGTGTATAATTATTTTGTATATATAAATACATTTGCATGCAATACTGTATATATATATATATATATATATAATTACGTTTAATAAATTATATTTATGACTGATACTGTTTTTTTCATTCAGATTATGTCTGAATATGCTTAAATGTCATGCAAATAATGTTATAATGCAAAAAAAAAATATTTCTATAATGCTGTATATTTTTTATAGAGTCCCATAAAATGCATATCATTACCGTAATGCAAAACTGATAAATTAAAATAAAATGGGAAAATTGATACTTTAGTTTTTAATATATATATATTCTTTAATATATACATGCATTTGTGTGTATTTATATATATATATATATATATATATATATATATACAAAATAATTATACACAGCACACACGCATATATTACGTAAACACAAACTTTTATTTTGGATGCGATTAATCGCAATTAATCTTTGCACAGCCCTAGTTTTTTGTAATGAGACTGAATGTGAGTAAATGTTATGCAAAAACTGTAAAAAACTGTCATTTTTTTCCAGTAGATTCTCCCATGCTGGAGTCACACACCTGTTTGTAAAGCCAGCCGTTTTTCACCACCGGAGCATTGGGGTTCCTCCTGATAGAGTTGGACCTCTTCCCAAAGTTGTGGACTTTCTTTGAGGACCTGGACGGCTGCAAAAAAAAGATTATTCTGAGAAATGACACTTCCGAGGACTCGAGCTTGCCTGTATACATTATTCAGTGATCAGTTGTAAATAATTACAACTGACTAGTAAAGTCGTTTAGTGGAGCTGAGAAAACGAGCGCAAGGCATGCATTATGAATAGACGGCACTTACGAACCCTTGGTTAAAAAGCGTCTTAACAGAAGCCAAAACACATGGGCAAATATAACAATCTGTGAGTTTATCTGTCATACATCTCGCTCTGATGAGACACAATGAGTCACCAGCAAGTCGCTTCGACTTCGATTGTTCATGTCAAGTCAAGACAAATATATTTATATAGCGCTTTTCACAATACAGATTGTATCAAAGCTGCTTCACAGTATCAATTAAGACAACTTAACAGTGTTTGTTTATTCATAAAAAAGACAATCAAGTTTGGTAGAGCTGATCAATGGTATGATGGGTCATTTAATTTGAATATCCTCATAATGATAATAAATCATTAAAATGAATAAATATAAAGTCACAAACACTACCATAATCAAACCTTGTAAATGTGTGCATATTTATTCATTTATTTGAGAAATAATCCAAGCCACATGCATTCATGAATTTTTGATCTTGTTTGGGTGTTTTTATGCTATAAGGAGTTACGGGATGTTGTAAGTTGTCTGAATGACTAGTTGAGAAGTATTTTGAAAGACTTGAATCATGAGGTTTAGGAACTTCTCAAAGGCAGAGTTTCCATCCATATATTTGTATGCATTAAAAATGCAGGATGGAAAAACAAGATTGTACTTGTGAAATATCAGCAATGCTCGCTTGAGATGGATGCCCATCCTTACTGCATTTTTATTATACTCTATATCAACTCAAGCAAAGACAATGAAGCAAATGTCCAGTAATGAAGACACTAATTGGTCAAGATGCTATTGAACTAGGCCCAGGTGTCAGTGAGTTAGTGTGTGTGGCTCACTCTGGTTGTGGGACTGCTGGGGTGTGTGGCGTAGTCTGAGCCGCCCGTGTAGTTGGACGCTTCGCTCATGGTGCTGGTTGGACGTTCTTTCTTCTCGGCCTCTGGTGCTTTGGTCGCTGGTCTGGAAGAGAAGAAAAGAGGAGGAACGTCAAAAATTCATCTTCTTTGCACGATATATATTTTATCAATTGCATGCTGTCTATTACCACAGACAATCATTTATTCAAATGCTTTTGCAGCAGAGTAACTCACATGAGAAATGCAATATCAACTCAATAGAAAATACTGTGGAATAAATCCCACCTTCTGGACAAAAAGAGCTATTCGCCAACTGATAAAGTCATTGCGTGATTTACTCATAACATCACAAGAAGAATGGCATCTACACTAATTTTAGTGTCTTTGATTACCCGAAGGTTTCCCCGCAGCCCGTACTAGACAGATAAAGTGTTGTGAAAGTAGAAGACACAGTAGTTTGTTTAGGCATGTTTTGTTGGATCTTTTCGAGTCAACTCGTTCATTTCGCTCGTTGAATGAACCAAATGTCACGAAAAAAAGATTTGTTCATTTTGATGAACGAGATCGAACAGGAGAGTCACGAACGTGCGTCACAGAACAGAGCAAGTTGACCATTTGAGCTTATAAAACGTAAACTTTTTTATTTATTTTTTAAATGAGCGATCGTTTGGCTTGATAAGACCCTTAATCATCGTCTGGTGTCGTTTAAAGCCCTTTAAAGCTGCACTGAAACTGTCTTTTGGACCTTGAACTGTTTGGACCCCATTGAAGTCCATTATATGGAGAAAATCCTGGAATGTTTTCATCAAAAACCTTCATTTCTTCACAACTGAAGAAAGAAAGACGTGGACATCTTGGATGACATGGGGGTGAGTAAATTATCAGCAAAAGTTTTTTTTTTTAAAGTGAACTACTCCTTTAAAGGAGCAATGTGTGACTTTTAGCGACATCTAGTGGTTCGGTTGCGAGTTTGCACCAGGTTTGCACTAAGGGCTCAGCCCACTGCTCACCCCTCCCTTTCGAAGAAGCTACGGTTGCTAAAACGGGACAAACATCTCGTCGGCTGAGACAGCAGAGAATAGCCAGAGTAAGCCAAGAGTGTGTAACATTGTCACTGTTTCTGTACCACAGTCCATTATAAACCACATCATGAATACTGTTTACAAAGCCATAGTCAGGTGAGGATCAAGGGTTTTAATATATAATTTAATATAATAATAATAATCAGCTGATTGTCTCACAAACGTAACCAGCAGCACATTTCTCCACACATACTGTAGCAAACCCATAATACAGCGAGGGAGCAGCTATATATTTTTTCTAACAGGGTAGTAATAGTTTAGCTGGCTAATATGAGCTGTTACTGTGGCTGAGCTGGGACGCGTCTGCATGAGTCCAAAGGTCGGAAGTGCGCGCGCTGTTACAATCATGTCATCTCCGCATCCCATAGATACTATTTACTACACACAATAGGCTTTTTTCTCTGATTTTGAAAACTCTTCGTGATCGACTTTAGTGATCTAAAAGTCTCTATCGACGGGTTAGTGATTCCTGTAACGTACTGTTTTACGGTCAATGACATGAATACTAATCATCAGCTGTCTCACGAACGTAACAGCACATCTATCCCCAACATAACAAACCCATAACACAGCGAGGGAGAACTAAGTTACATGAAACAATCCCAACTACATATTTTACACCACTCACAAGGGAAAAGTCACTACTCACGGAGTGTAAGGCTAGCTTCCAGCTTTCCGCTACTTCTCTTTCAAGGTAGTGATGAAACGCGTTCTGTAGCGCTGTTTGTTCGCGTTCGGCTACGGTAGGAATATGACGTCACAACATGGCGACCTTCATAGAAGGGGATTCCCTCGGTTATGGAGCTATTAATGTCTCATTCTAAGGTAATAAAAACATTACGGCTAATTAAGTAAGTTCTTTATACACCACTGAAAACATAGTTATGGATGTCATATTGCATTTCTGTTAATAGATACTCAACTTTGTTACACATTGCACCTTTAATGCATATGACATTTCCAAATGCCTCTATTGTTTCATTAGACCCATATCACTGCAGATACATTTACCCACTAAGGAAGATTGTTAGGGATGCACCGATATGAAAATTTTGGCCGATACCGATAACCGATAATTCTTTATATTTGAAAGCCGATAACCGATATATCGGCCGATAAACTTAAATCCAAATGAGATCCTGATTACAAATACAAAAGTTTCACAATTAATTCCATGTCCCAAGCACACAATTATAATGATGTTCTCATTATAGTGTTGTATAGCCGATATGACAGATTTGCACTTCACATGTTGTACCGAACCGTATTTTCATTTTTTTAAGAGATTTCAATCATATTTCAAGAAATCCAAAAACATAAACAGCGCTCAACAAGTGTCTCAGCTGAAGGGAATAATACATTATTTATCGGCTTTAATATATCGGCCACATTTTCTTACCAGGCCGATAACGATAACATTACAAATTAACATTTATCGGCTGATACCGATATGCTGGCCGATATATCGTGCATCCCTAGTTTGTGGTAATCGACAGGTTTAAAATAAGCAGAAAAACTGTGTGAATGCGGAGCGATTGCTGTGCAGATGAGTGAGGAAACTTCTTTGGAGTTTGGGCTGTAAACTGCTGTTTTATTAAGAATGAGAAAGGGAAAAAATCGAGGAGACCGGCCCCATGCATCAAACTCACTCCACGTCTCCGCTGATCTACTCCCACACAATTGACATCCTTAAATGCCCTGCCAGCTCCGGGTCTGACACACCGCATCCACAGTTTATGACCTAGTCAAGCTGAAGGGCAAAAGCAAACCGAAGGCCGGAAAAATCAAGGTTTAAAACCCAACGTCACGCCAAGACAGACCACAGCCTTATTTAAGCAAAGTGAAGAAAAAACACAATCAATACGGGCATGAAACCCTGAAATCCCACGACACATGGATGCTGAATCGGAGAGGCATTGTCCCGTAGGGTTGGCCTATATTCTGACGCTACGGTAGAGCGGCGACGTCTTGGGATAGCGCTGCTATCTTGAGCAAGGGAGAGGAGAGAACACCAGGGTAAAAAATAAAGCTGTCTAGCTTCTGGGTCACCGCGCAAAAAAGAAAACACTTTCTTTTCACGAAACGGCTGAATATTAGCACCGTTTACACGGATAAATCGAGTCTCCCACATGACAAACTGCGTCAGGAGGTTAAATATTGTTATGCTTTTATTATAACTGCATGTTTATGCATCCTGCTAAACATCTTAGACAGAAAAAATAAAGGTTTGGGACAAATTGAGGGCGAGCAAATGGATTATTTGTTCATCTTTTGCTTTAGAAACAAGCATCTGATTTTGTGTTGGAAACGAACACAAAGAGACACATTGTGAGATGCAGTCATGCACACACCAGCACCATACAAACACACAGTACACTGCTATCCTGGGTCACACAGACCCGAGTACGACCTTCCAGGACGCTGATCTCAAATTAAATTGAGCGTTCAACACGGCTATTAGCGTTCATTAATTAATCTCTTCTGAAATAATGAGCTTTAGCGTGCGCTCAGTGGCCATCACTCGCTTGATGTCTGAGTGGCAGCGAGTGTGAAATTAGCCCGATGTCACCCGGCTAAACCTCGCTGAGTCCGGAGATAATTGACGGAGGAGTTGAGATGGGCACCGGCACCGACTGGAGGTCATCAGCTAAAATGCGCGAGTCGGGTTAGCCTTTAAAACCCCGCATTTCTCTCATGCTTTCCCAATGCACAACCACCATACAATGAAAACAATCCATCCTAATCCTCAAAAAGTCTAAACACTCAAAAATCTGAGCACTGTGATGTCATAATCCTCATGGCTCCACCCACGACCACTGACGGACAGTCCCGTATTAGCATATTTCTGCCCTGAGCCATTCGAGTTGCTCATTACCATTTAAAGAGACATGCACCGGAACGGGTCGCTGTGAACACAGCCGTTTATGAGGAGGTAAATTGGGTGTTGTTTTACACAACCACTGAGGAATTTTAACCAAAGTATGTTATAAACTTTACATGAAGACCCTAAAGAATCATACCAACTTGTGGAAAATGGGCATCCGATGACCCCTTTCAGAAAATATCACAAAACTGTTGGATTGTTGGATTCATTCCCAATGTTAGACCTGAAAAATCTAGCTTTTTTATCAAGAAATTATGCTAATATATATATATATATATATGAAGAGTTCAGATGCAAAAGCCTCTAAGTGCCATTTGAAATTTTCTTCTAGAATGATCATTTTTATCAAGCTTGTATTCAAGTTCAGTAATTTCACTTAAATGACAATTAATAGGTAATCTTTATTGCAATTTAAGTGAAATTACTGAACTTAAATATACAAGCTTGATAAAAATGATCATTTTAGAAGAAAATTTCAAATGGTACTTAGAGGCTTTTGCATCTGAACTCTTCATATATATATATATATATATATATATTTGGGCGAGACATGATTTTATCTATTCGGAAATTGATTGGAAACAGAAGTTTAGATGAAAAACAATGTCTATATATGGTCAATCAAGGGGATTGGTTGAAAATGAGAGGGATTTGTGATGTTTGTTTCAGAGGAGGAACAAAGTAATATATTTTATTATTACGAAGACAAACATTTTTCTTCATAATAATGTGAATAATTTCAAATAAGACCAGGAGCATCTGATAATAATAGAAAATAAGCCATTTCGATTTCATGACTTCAATTACCTTATCTCTAAATACTATATTAAGATATTATATATCAATACTATTAATCAATAATAGAAACTATATTACTATATATACAGTATAGCAATCGTAATATATTGATACTATCATTGATAGGTTTAAAAAATGTTTTAATTTAATTTAAATGTCGTTTTAATTTGAGTTAAAGTTCCATTTTGTTGTGCATAATGCGTTTTTATTATGAATAATATAATACACACTTTTTTTGCACAATTTCAGGGGGATATTTGTATTTCATTACACGTTTAATATTCGTTAAGTCTTCATTAATAACATCATATAATAACCTGCCCTGAAGGCCTCAATTGC